GCCGAGCCACGCGCCCTCACGGCAGCGCTGGTTGGATAAGTGTGATTGGATCCATGCGGGAAAACAACCCAAGGTCCACTCCCGAGACCTGGAAGAGGAGGGCTGGGCTCCATCCAGCCGAGGAGGGTGACTCCAGGGGAGACGGGGAGGGCAGAGGACGTGCCCCGGCTTCTGCGGCAATACACCCAGGAGCAGGGTGACCCTTATTTCAAGAAAGAAAGAAACATCTTGTCCATAAGCAGAGTTTGCTGGGACTTCTCAGTAAAATGCATCTAAGCTAAGAAAAGCCCAAGGGGGCTTCACGTGGGGGCTCACTTCCCGTCCCGCCGTTCTCCTAGAATGCGTCGGTCCTCAAGCCACTTCCCCTCCAAGCAGCCAGGGTCCGGCAATGTCACTTAACTTCTCTCAAAAGGCCTGGGCATAGTGAGCACTTCTTAATTCGCCAAATCAGCCAACGAGAGCCCCCGACTTCCACGCTCTGCGGTGCTCTCCGCGGGTGTTCGGATCCTCAACCACCAGCCAGTTGGGTCCCGGCCAGGAGTGAGCAGGAAGTCGGTGTGTCAGCCACGGGCCCCACAAGGGAATCGACACTTGATGGGGTCCTGAGGTTACCGAGGGGTCTCAACCCCCAAGTGCCGGGAAGTCTCGGGATAAATTTCTCCAACGGCGGCCTCCAGCACTTACAGGAAACATATCCCTGATGACTTCAGGGATAACACTCAGCACAGCCGGGCTGGGAACCCCGCCTCCTGTCGGGTTCCGGGCTGGCTCTCTGGGGCACGCTGACACTGAGACAGGGGGCAGGGGTCGGGAGGGTGCTCGGGCACCCTCGGTTCACATGCTTGCCACACCCAGCTCTGGGTTCCGGGATCCGGTGGCAGGATCAGCGATGTCCCACGTCTCCCTCGGGCTAACCCGCTGGCCCCAGTCCCCAGACACGTAGACATCTAATAATGAAGAGCAGGAGGGACGCGAGAGAGCTCCCGAGCCGAGGCTGGAGGGACGGCACCAATGGACAAGCAGTGTGCAGAGTCGCAGGAGGCCAGCCGGAGAGAAGGTTAATGGTCCGGGACCAGGAGAAACCAGTGTTGTCTGGGGGAAACCGATCCACAGTCTCCTGGATTCCTTGGAAATAAATGCAAATTGTCGTCTTTCCTCTCTGTTAGAATGCACACTACTAGTAAAAATAACAGTAAAAAGGCAGGTGCCAATCAGCAAAAGGCACAGGGCAAAATTCACCATAGACAGAGAAAAAATGAAAATCACACTTGGGGCGCCTGGACCTGAAAATGAGGGCGAAAAATTAAAGTCGAGTCAAATAATAAAAATGAGAGCAAATCAGAAGAAATCGACACTGTACATTCAATAGTTTCCTTTGACTAAGAATCAGCAGGTACATAAAGTCTCGATGAAATTTAGACTGAAAACGTTGACCTAGGAAGTTTGGACTTGCAGAAACACGGCCCAAAGGAAAGCGCTCCTCGGCTGAAGATTACTTAGCAAAACGGAAACGTCCCAAGGAAGCGATCAATGAACCCATTTTTTTTAAAATAGGTTCAAATTGCATAGAAAAGAATTCATCTCGGTGAATATAATTTCAACAAAGTAAATAGTGTAAAAACTGAGTGTTTTAATAGTGTAAAAAAAGCTGGTTTAACGGATTTAACTCTGGATCAGTTTTTCAGTGAAAATAATCAATGTTGTTACATTTCCAGTTGGAATGCTTATATTAAATGTCATTGCCCCCAAATATATAGCCTTAGACCCCAAATAATACAAAATAGTAGGGTAGGCAAAAATGGGAGAAGGGGAGAGAACCAGAACATTTCTGTTTTACTGGGAATGGAAATTAAGGTTTATTGAGCGGTTGATACGTGCCGGAAACTGTGCTGGGTTCTCTCTCTGTCTCTCCCTCTGTGTGTGTGTGTGTCTCTGCCTGATTATCTCTCTGTCTCTCCCTCTGTGTGTGTGTGTCTCTCTCGTCGGTCCTCACCTCACAACCCCGAGGGCAGAGATCAGGCTGCTGAGGCTCAGGGAGCCGAGATGCAGAGGCAGCGCAGGCTGCTTGCTGTTCAGATCACTGGAGCGGTGCAGAGTGACTCGGCGCAGGCGCTGGGAAGACCTTTCTGGAGTGAGTGACCTGCAGCTTAGGCTCACTCCATCAGGGGTGTGAGGAGCCTGCGGTGACTCAGGAGGGTTGGGGCAGAGTGACTCCCCAGGCTGGTCCCAGGCCCGCCAACCGCCTCCAGCCTCAGGTGGTTTTCACGAGTTGACGTCCGACTTCCTGTGTCCTTCAGGTGAGCGATACTTTGCAGACCAAAGTGGTGCTCAGCAGTATATTTTCAGGGCTCCAGAGTCTAAAATCAAGTGAAGCAGAGTCCTTCCCTCCCAGATTTCCTTGGAAAGGTCTTCATTTAATTTATGCTGTCAATCTTAAAGAAACAGTGATTTTCCCTGTGGTGGGCCAGAGGCGTGGCATTTTTCATGATGATAAAGTGACAGATGTTTAACAGAGATGTGCACAAATGCAAAATTGCATATGGATACCAAATTACGGCAGTATCAGTTTTTCACAATGTGAATATTTAGGACATATGGTTACAGAATCCAGCTAATTTGAGGTGTTTATTGCTCAGTTGATTTCACGGTTAGCTAAGGGTGTTAACTATTGGCAACGTCCAGGCTTCTAGGACCACGTGATTCTTAACACCTGGAGAATATTTCCTGCCTCCGCCCCACGTGAAGCTACAGATACTGTTTAAGTGTTAAAGTCACCTTCTCCCAAAAACAGTAAGCAGTGGCGCCTTCAAGGGACGTAGGGGTTAACAGTCAACGATTAGTCAAAACCGCAGCCCAGAAGGTGTCATCACACTCCCCGCCCCAGTCACCTTTGAGGAGGGGCAGGAGGGCCCAGTGGCCAAGAACACGGCCTTCAGATCAGGCAGACCTTGGGCTTAAGAAACTATTTCACTGCTTATCAGCCTCAGGCAAGTGACAACATCTGAAAATGGATGAAGTACCAGTATTGTGTTAGTTTCTAGGGCTGCAGTAAGCCACGAACTGGGGGGCTGGGTCAATAGAAATCTATGGTCTCCCAGTCCTGGGGCCCAGTCATCTAAGGTCAGGGTGTCGGCGTGGCTGGGTCCTTGCGAGGCTGAGTGAGAATCCGTTCCAGGCCTCTCTCCGGCTTCTGCTGGTTGCCGGCCATCCTCGGCATTCCTTGGCTTGTAGACGCATCGCCCCAATCTCTGCCTTCATGTTCATGTGGAGTCTCCCTGTGTCTGTGTCCAAACATCCCCTATCATAAGGACACCAGCGTATCAGCTGAGAGCCCACCTACTCCAGCACGACCTCCTCTTAACCAGACACATCTGCAGCAACAACGCTATTTCCAAATACAGTCACATTCCAAGAGACTAGAGGTTAGCACTTCAGCATCTGAATTAGGCGGACACAGTCCAGCTCATGACAAGGGCCCCCCTCATACCATCAAAAGGAAGATTAAACGAGATAGCAACTAAAACTTAGCATCTGACCCATCTCTGCTGGCTCTTCCTGTTAGTTCTTTATTTGAAGGAACATCTCACAGTTTTATCTGAACCGTGGCACATGTTGGCGCTGTCAGAATTAGGAACGTGTTAGAAAGTCTGTCACGTACATATCATTTACCCGATAGCCTGTGAACGCATGTGTGGAATGAGGCCTGGGCAGACGACAGCAGCAGGCAGACGGGAGCCTGCAGGACTGAGGGTGCGGCCCCAGCAGGCGGAGAAGTGGCACAGAGCGCCCACAGGCGCAGAAGCTTCCCCTCCCATGCTCTCAGAATGAAGAAGGCCGTGACGGGCAAGTGTTGATGAGACGTGGGCACGGCAGCGACCTCACAGTGGTGAGATCTGATCGCTAAGGGTCAGTTTTGAATATTTAACAAAATTCATTCCTGTAAGATGTGCAAAAACATGGAGGCATTTCTGAATGTGCCAAGAAGCCCCTGGAAAGGACAAGGGTTGCTGAAATGTTGAGCTTATCGCATTACTGGAATATCGCACCAAAAGCAACGGGGAGCAGTGGACACAGCCCGCAATGCTGGGGGCTGTGGTGTGGGCCGTGCCGAGCGTCACAGAGCCAGGGGCTCTGCAGGCTGGCAGAAGCGGGAACGCCCCGGGAAAGGGTCAGGAAGGGGCGCGGCAGCCGGCTCCGGAGAGAAACACTAGGCTCTTCCGGGTAGGCCTGGCGGGCTGAGGAAGGATTAGAAGAGAGGCGAGCATGGCACGGGCATTCTGCAGGTGCTGGTGGTGGGCACGGGCTGCGGCCAGACTTGCGATGCAATGGCTTCTTGTTTTGTTGTTATTTTTATCAGTTATTTTCCACTTAAAATAAACAACTGTGTTAGAAAATTAAGCGACATTCAGAGTCTGAGTCTTAAGAGCTGTGAGTTAAGAATTAGAGAGAGGGGTGGAGATGGAGCTCGTGCAGCCCCCGCATCCCTTAGAGGCAGCCCCAGGTTCCCCGCAGAGAATGCTCTCCCAGCCAGAAACGCTCAGATGGGCTTCTGAAGGCCCCGAGGGCAGTGCCATTTTTAACATCAAAGTTCAACTCTCAGGTTCCCAATTTCCGAGCAGTCTGCCCTTAAGGGAGGGGATGACTCAGAAATGAGATTTTTGTCCAGGGATGATCTTTTTTCTCTGAGAAACCTTTGTAAGACCCTTGACTCCTAACGAGAGAGTCTCAATGCCATCATTTAAGCTTAGCAAGAATCACCCTCGCTGCCTCTCCACCCACAGGCACCCACGCCGCTAAAGTGTGTGATGATCATGCCACGGTCATGATCTAAACGTGACGAGAGGTCCAGAAAGTCCAATGCTTTGTACGAAATGGCTCTGGAGATAGGTGAGTTGGGGTACGGATAACTCACACTGGCTTCAGGAAAATCCCACAGCATCATCACCAGCCTTGTCCACAGGAGAGGAAAAGGCCTTGTGGAGCCGAGGAGCGGGTCTTACCATCTGCAGATGGCCATCCAGGCGAGACCTGCCAGGCAGCCGACGAGCAGGGCACCCAGGGCCAGGGAGACCAAGGATGCCTTCGGGAGCCTTCCAGAGTCTGGAGCAAGAACGGAGCTGGTCAGCAAGCGTGCCGAGCCCAGAGCAGCGGCCAGCGTGCCCTGTCTGACCCCAGCCCACCCTGATCCCGGGTCTGGCTGACCCCCACATGCAACAGACAGCAGGACGCACCAAGCGGCATGCACCTGCATGGACCTGCCTGGACCTGCCTGGAAGCAGCCATGTGTGCAGACATGCCCCCCAGGTGGGAGGGGGGCCTGCAGGGAGCAGGGGAGACCTCGGCCCTTCTCAGGTAACAGGCCTCACTGCTCAGCATCCAGCCTTTGATCAGGAACAGTGAACCTCTCTTCCTCTCGACCCCGGGGAGCACGCTGAGCCCACTGCAGAGACCCTGGGGACCCCGAGAGCACCCAAGAGGGACAGAAAGTGGGTGCAGAGCGAGTGACTGGTGGGCAGATGGCAGGAAGATCACTGTGCGGCGTGTGCCTTCACGCCCTCGGCACACGTGCTTTCTGCAGAAGCGAGCAGGAGGGAAGCAGCGGTCGAGGGAAGGAGCAGTCCCCACCGTGTGGTGTCAGAGCCCGTGGGAGCCAGACGGGCTACCACCCACCGCGCCTTCTCCGACGCGGCTTCAAGTTCCAGCCGCCTGGCTGCCTGCTGCTGCCCACAGTGCTCAAACCGCACCCGTGAACCCTCCTGGATCTGGATCTGACGCCTGAACCATCCAGCTGCCTGGACTGCGCTCCTCGGAAGCAATCTATGAATACCAAGTCTCTTTGAACGCCTCTCCTGCTCTCGTTGCCTTTAGTCAGATACAAGGGACCGGCCCGCACAACGCCCCTGCGGGCACAGCCCTGAGGGAGGGCCGAGGGCAGAGGAGACACACAAGCCTCGTGCCACACGGGGTTCTCCCCGTGCTTCTAGCTGTCTGGGAACATCCTCCTTTGTTTGTCCGAGAAAGGCCCAGTCATCGTTAGTGACGGACGGCAGCACCCGCGTCCCAGGCACGCCTCCAGCCTCACGTCCTCAGGGTCCTCCCCAGCCCTGGCCTGTGGGGAAGCAGCCATGCAGATGCCAAGGGGAAAGCAGGGGCTCCGGGCCGGGCTGCCAGTGAGTGGCTCGGCTGCGACTCCGAAGGAGACCCTGACACCCACCCAGTCCCCTGGGAACTGTTCCTTCCATGGACCCTTACTTCGCCCGTTGGCTGTAAATCTCCAGCTGCCTTTGCTATGTTTGGGGTTGAGCTCAGTTCTGTATGGAGGTCTCCCTCCCCTGCTGCAGTAGTGAGGATAAAATGTCTTGCCATTTTAACAAGTATTAGCATCATTTTTCTTCTACAGGATCTAGAAGCCAAGCTACAATTCCCAGATCTACAACTGAGAGGCTGTGTGATCCCGAGCAAGTCATTTAACCTCTCTGTTCTGTATGTGGGGATTAAACGTCATGCTTACTTCCCAGAGGTAATTCCCTGGGGGATGAAGCTGGCTGACAGTTTGGACCAGGGCTGCACTGTTGAGTATTTCACAATAGTCTTGTAAGTTTAGGAATGAACTGGCTGGTCCCCTGCTCCCCCCAGCATCTGAGAGGTAGTGGAGTGGACATGCACGAAACACCAGCCACAGCACAGCTAGAAGGATGACCTTCAGTCGTCCCTGAGGGTGCCGTGTCAGACACGCCGCCTCCCCACCCCCCGTCAGGATGCACGAGGAGAGCCATCTCACCAACGCAGGTCCTTCCGTCTTCTCCCAGCACATAGGGATCTGTGCACTCGCACTGGAAGCTGCCCTTGGTGTTCTTGCAGCGGGCTGACAGGTGGCAGGGAGGGTCCATCATGTCTTCACACTCGTTGATGTCTACACACACAGGGCAGAGGTCAGGCCCATCTGAGACAGGGCCTGCATCCCCCACCTCGGCCTCCTGCAGGCCCGAGTGTCGAGGGGTTGGGGCCGTGTGGAGTCCCCAGCCAGCGGGGAAGAGTGACTCGGAGCTGTGGCTGTGTCTGTCTATCGTAGAAGTTACTAGGAGGTGTTCTGTCTATAGCTGACCATATCAAGGCCTTTCTGGACACAGCGTCCGTCTAAGGTGGCACCGTGCCTCGGGCAGCCACGTGTGCATGCTGTCACACAGAGCCAGGACATGGGGTGGGGGCAGAAGGAATATGCGACTGTGCTTGGTTTTGTTACGACAGCATGAAAATCCAAGTCGCTGCCCCCGAAACACGGCAACCACCCCACAGACGTGAGATGTGGGATGTGGGTCAGGAGACGTGGGATGTGGCATGTGGGATGTGAGATGTGGGATGTGGGATATGGGATGTGAGATGTGGGATGTGGGATATGGGATGTGAAATGTGGCGTGTGGGATGTGGGATATGGGATGTGAGACATGGGATGTGAGATGTGGGATGTGAGACGTGGGATGTGGGATATGGGATGTGAAATGTGGCGTGTGGGATGTGGGATATGGGATGTGAGACATGGGATGTGAGATGTGGGATGTGAGATGTGGGATGTAGGATGTGGGATGTGGGATGTGGGATGTGAGACGTGGGATATGAGATGTGGGATGTGAGATGTGGGATGTGGGACGTGAGATGTAGGATGTGAGACATGAGACGTGGGATGTGAGATGTGGGATGTGGAATATGGGATATGAGACGTGGGATATGAGATGTGGGATGTGGGATGTGGGATGTGAGATGTAGGATGTGGGATGTGGGAAGTGAGACGTGGGTTGTGGGATGTGGGATGTGAGATGTGGGATGTGGGACGTGGGATGTGGGATGTGAAATGTGGGATGGACTGGCAGGGAAGGACCGGCAGGCCCTGCAGAGCAGCTGTGCCTCAGGCTCCCCTGTCCCCCAGCGCAGCCCTTTCCTGGCACAATTCCCTCCGAGCAGCATCTGCTTTCTCTGCTCCTCTGCCTCGCCCAGTGCCCTGAGCTCAGACTTAGCCATGTGGAGCTCCCCGTGCACACAGACTAGGGGCTTCAAACAACACAGATCTCCCTTCCCAAGGCTTTGGAGGCCAGAAGGCCAGGCAGGCCACGCTTGCTCCCCCAAGGACTCTGTGGGAGGACTCTTCCTGGCCTCTTCCAGCCCCTGATGGTGCTGGCGGTCCCTGGTGTCCCCTGGCCTGTGGATGCATCTCCTCATCCTCTGTCTTCACAGCGCCGTCTTCCCTCTGTGTCTCTCGTCTTCTCATAGGGACACCAGTCTATCGGATTGGGGCCTATCCTGTACCCTCATTTTAACTTGATTCCACCTGCAAAGGCCCTATTTCCTAAGAAGGTGCATTCTGAGGTGCTGGGGGCTAGGACTCAGCCAGAATTTCCTCACAAAGGAGGGGGAGCTGGCTCAGGCCCATGCGTCCCCAGGTTCCCCCATCAATCTGCAGGAGGGCCGAGGCTCCACCTGCCTGGCCAGGTTTCTCCCAGGTTTCTCTGCTTCCAAGAAGAGCTGCAGATGGGTCCCCGAGCCCTGCCCCGGCTGGCCCCGACATCGGCACAGACGTTCCTGTCCCCTGAGCACATTGTGCTGACTGCCCGTCTCATTCTCTGCAACAGACACGGAAGCATTTACTGTAGTCATTTATTACCTGACCTCCTGGCAATAACCACAGCAGAAAGCCGCAGACAGAGGTTTTTGTCCATTTTGAACTCACGGCTTTAAAGCCCTGGAAAGCAATTCATCACAATTCATTTGCTAGTTTTCCCATTCCATGAGATTTTTGTGTGGATGGATTTTAGTGGATGTGCAGGGTTGAGAAGAGAGGAGCGAATCTCATTTGACTGCGGGTATTAAACATCCAGCTGAGCCAGAGACCTTGCTTCCTGCAACCACAGATACATTGGCACGCGATCCGGGTGAAGACCTACAGCTGGATCATATGGTAGTTCTAGTCGTAATTTTTTTTTTGGTGAGGAAGATTCTTCTCGAGCTAACATCGGTGCCAATCTTCCTCCAATTTATATGTGGGTCGCTACCACAACGTGGCTGGCGAGTGGTGTATGTCCGTGCCTGGGATCTGAACCCTGGAACCCGGGCCGCAGAAGTGGTTCACACCTGACTTAACCACTATGCCATGAGGCTGGCCCTAGTCTTCATTTTTTGAGGACTCTCCATACCATTTTCCATAGTGGCTGCACCAATTTTCACTCCCACCAGGAGTGTATGGCGGTTCCCTTTTCTCCACATCGTCTCCACCATTTATTATTTCTTGTCTTGTTAATTACAGCCATTCTGACAGGTGTGAGGTGATATCTCACCATAGTTTTGATTTGCACTTCCCTAATCATTAGTGACGTTGAACATCTTTTCGTGTGCCTGTTGGCCATCTGTACATCTTCTTTGAAGAAATCTCTGTTCAGATCTTTTACCCATTTTTTAATTGGGTTGTTACTTTGTTGTTGCTGAGATGTATGAGTTCCTTATACATTTTGGATATTAACCCCTTATCTGATGTACGGTTTGCAAATATCTTCTCCCAATTGTTAGGTTGTCTTTTCATTCTTTCGATGGTTTCCTTTGCTGTGCAGCAGCTTTTTAGTTTGACGTAGTCCCATTTGTTCATTTTTCCTATTGTTTCCCTTGCCTGGTCAGACATGGTACTTGAAAATATGCAGCTAAGACTGATGTCAAAGAGCATGTTGCCTATGTTTTCTTCTAGAAGTTTCATGGTTTCAGGTCTTACATTCAAGTCTTTAATCCATTTTGAGTTTATTTTTGTGTATGGTGTAAGATAAGGGTCTACTTTCATTCTTTTGCATGTGACTGTCCCGTTTTCCCAACACCATTTATTGAGGAGACTCTCCTTCCACCGTATGCTCTTGGCTCCCTTGTCGAAAATTAGCTGTCCATAGATGTGTGGGTTTATTTCTGGGCTATCCAGGGTCTTTTCTTGTTCCATATACATTTTAGGGTTCTTTGTTCTATTTATGTGGAAAATGTTGTTGGAATTTTGATGGGGATTGCATTGAATCTGTAGATTGCTTTAGGAAGTATCAACATTTTAACTATGCTAATTCTTCCAATCCAAGAGCATGGAATCTCTTTCCATTTCTTTGTGTTTTCTTCGATTTCTTTCAACAATGTTTTATAGTTTTCAGTGTACAGATCTTTCACCTCTTTGGTTAAGTTTACTCCTAGGTATTTTATTCTTTTTGTTGCAATCGTAAACGGTATTGTATCGTAATTTATCTTTCTGCTACTTTGTTGCTGGTGTATGGAAATGCAATTGATTTTTGTATGTTGATTTTGCATCCTGCAACTTTACCTTATTAATTTATCATTTCTAAAAGTTTTTTGGTAGGTTCTCTGGGTTTTCTATATGTAAAATCATGTCATCTTCAAACAGTGACAGTTTCACTTCTTCCTTTCCAATTTGGATCACTTTTATTTCTTTTTCTTGCCTGATTGCTCTGGCTAGGACTTCCAATACTATGTTAATTAAGAGTGGTGAAAGTGGGCGTCCTTGTCTGGTTCCTGTTCTTAGAGGGATGGCTTTCAGTTTTTCTCCATTGAGAATATTATCGGTGGGTTTATCATATATGGCCTTTATTATGTTGAGATACTTTCCTTCTATACTAATTTATTGAGAGCTTTTATCATAAATGGATGCTGTGTCTTGTCAAATGCTTTCTCTGCATCTATTGAGATGATAATGTGATTTTTATTCTTGATTTCCTTAATGTGGTCTATCACATTGATTTATTTGTGGATGCTGAACCATCTCTGCATCCCTGGAATAAATCCCACTTGATCATGCTGTATGATCTTTTAATGCATTATTGTATTTGATTTGCTAGTCTTTTGTTGAGGCTTTTTTGGGTTTTTGTCTTTGTGAGGAAGATTGTCTCTGAGCTAACATCTGTGCCAATCTTCCGCTGTTTTGTATGTAAGATGCTGCCACAGATTGGCTTGATGAGCAGTGTGTAGGTCTGCACCTGTGATCTGAACCTGTGAATGCTGGGCCACTGGAACAGAATGTGCAAACTTAACCACTACTCCACCAGGCCAGCCCCTTTTGTTGAGGATTTTTGCATTGATGTTCATCAGTGATACTGGCCTATAATTTTCTTTTTTTCTGTTGTCCTTGTCTGGTTTTGGCATCAGGCTAAAGTTGGCTTCATAGAATGAGTTGGGAAGCTTTCCCTCCTCTTCAATTTTTTGGAAAAGCTTGAGAAGGATAGGTATTAAGTCTTTGAATGTTTGGTAGAATTCACCAGGGAAGCCATTTGGCGCTGAACTTTTATTTTGGGGGAGGTTTTTTATTACTGTTTTGATATCCTTACTGGTGATTGGTCTATTCAGATTCTCTACTTCTTGATTCAGTGTTGGAAGGTTGTAGGATTCTAATTATTTATCCATTTTTTCTAGATTATCCAATTTGTTGGCATGTAGCTTTTTGTAGTAATCTCTTATACTCTTATCTACTTTTTTATTTCTCTTGGTTTCTTTGTTGACCCAATCATTGTTCAGTAGCATTTTGTTTAATCTCCACAGATTGGTGGCTTTTCCAATTTTCTTCCTGTAGTTGATTTCTAGTTTCATACCGTTGTGGTCAGAAAAGATGGTTGGTGTTATTTTAATCTTCTTAAATTTTGTTTTGTGGCCTAATATGTGATCAATCCTGGAGAATGTTCCATGTGCATTTGAAAAGAATGTATATTCTGTGGTTTTTGGATGGAATGTTATGTATATATCTACTAAGTCCATCTGATCTAATGTGTCATTTAAGGTCAATGTTCTCTTATTGGTTTTCTGTTTGGATGATCTATCCATTGGTGTAAGTGGAGTCTTAAAATCCCCTACTATTATGGTGTTACTGTCTATTTCTCCTTTTATGTCTGTTAATGAATAGCTTTATATGTTTAGGTGCTCCTGTGTTGAATGCATAGATATTTACAAGTGTTATATCCTCTTGTTGGATTGTTCTCTTTATCATTATGTAGTGCCCTTCTTTGTCTCTCGTTACATTTTTTGTTTTAAAGTCTATTTTGTCTGATATAAGTAATGCTACCCCAGCTTTCTTTTCTTTGCCACTTGCATAGAGTATCTTTTACCATCATTTTACTTTCAGTTTCTGAGTGTCTTTAGGTCTGAAGTGTGTCTCTTGTATGCAGCATATATGTGGGTCTTGTTTTTTGATCTAGTCAGCCACCCTGTGCCTTTTGACTGGAGCATTTAGTTCACTGACACTTAAAGTAGCTATTGATAAGTAGGTACTTATTGCCATTTTGTTACTTTTTTCCTGGGTGTTTTTTTTATTATTATTATTAAGATTATGATAGATTACAACCTTGTGAGATTTCAGTTTTACATTATTGTTAGTCATGTTGTGGGTGCACCACTTCACCCTTTGTGCCCTCCCCCCACCCCCCACCCCCCTTCCTGGGTTTTTTTGTGGTTCTTCTCTGTTCCTTTCTTCTTCTCTTGCTCTCTTCCCTTGTGATTTGATGGCTTTCTTTAGTATTATGTTTGGGTTTCTTTCTCTTAATTATTTGTGTATTTATTATAGGTTTCTGATTTGTGATTACCATATGTAATCATATGTATACAACAGACTATATTGAGTTGATGGTCTCTTAAGTTTGACCTCTTGCTAAAAGCTCTACTCTTTTACTCCTCTCCTCTCACATTTTATTTATTTATCTGTGAGGAAGACTAGCCCTGAGCTAACATCTGTTGCCAATCCTCCTCTTTTTGCTGAGGAAGATTGTCACTGAGCTAACATCTGTGCTCATCTTCCTCTATTTTATGTGGGATGCCGCCAGAGCATGGCTTGATGAGTGATGCTAGGTCTGTGCCCGGGATCCGAATCTGTGAACCCTGAGCTGCCAAAGCGGAAAGTGCAAACTTACTTAACCACTATGCCACTGGGCCAGCCCCTCACATTTTATGTTTTTGATATCATATCTGACCTTCATGAAAACACATAAATAGCTTACAAGTAAATAGGTTCCACTGCTTTTGAAAAAATCTGCATGGGCCTGGCCCAGTGGCACAGCGGTTAAGTTCACACGTTCTGCTTCAGCAGCCCAGGGTTTGCTGGTTCAGATCCCGGGTGTGGACATGGCACCGCTTGGCAAGCCATGCTGTGGGTAGGCGTCCCATGTATGAGATAGAGGAAGATGGGCATGGATGTTAGCTCAGGGCCAGTCTTCCTCAGCAAAAAGAGGAGGATTGGTGGCAGATGTTAGCTCAGGGCTAATCTTCCTCAAAAAAAAATCTTCTTGGATTCTCCTCATGCACATTACTCTGGAACTTGAATTTTTACTTAGTGATATATTTTGGACAGTATTCCAAGTCAACGGACACACTGCTAATTTATGCAGCATAAGAGTTCCTGACGTGGGCCTACCCCAGTCTTGACCATCTGCTTTTGACTTCCTCTGTTAACAGCATTGGACATTAAATATGAGTGTGTTATTCTTACCATGCACTTAACCGATTTAAGTTGACAAGCAGTCAGGTAGCCCTCGCCACCACCCTCAGTTCACATTTGAAGTCATGGAGGCGCGTGGAAGCTAAGGGTTGGGGAGATGGAAGAAGGAGCCACTGAGATGGCCCAAGTAAGGAGGCACTGAGGTGGGAACTGGTTGGTGCAAGAGAGAATCGAGTGGATGGATGGCTTGTGAAAGGACTTCAGGAACAGCAGGACTTTGGTGTCATTCTTAGCATTGTCGAGAGGAGGCAGGGACTCCCTCTCACGTTAAGGAGACAATTCGGGCTGGAAGTAGGAACACATTCACTGAGCACCGCCAGGCAAGCACACTCGGGGGCTGGGATATGTGGGGCCCTCTGTCACTCGCCTGTTTCTAAGCTTTTGCTCCTCTTTTATTTGTGCCTCACAGATCCCTATGAATAGAACTTTAGGGTCATAAACACCTAAAACAAATAGCCAAAATTAACATATAAGATGTCCAGGTATTTAGGCAAAAAGGATGTAAGGCACGCACATGATGTTACACCACGTGAGGTCTTCCTAGACCCCGAGCATGCAGCACGCCAGACCCTGACATAACGTCACATCTTCCTTGACTGTACTGACAACCGGAAAACCAGGAATCTGGGTAAAGTGAGCATTTCAGTTTTGCCCAGACACTAAGCCAAAACCGCACTAAAAACTCCGAGGTTTGTTGTACTTTTTGCTCCTGAAGGATGAGCTGCAGAACCCAATTATCGGGAGTAATCAAAGAGGTAGTTAACGGGAATAACAAACGCGTGCAGCTGTCACCGTGGTTCAGAATGGCGGGTTCCTATGGCGAGAAGTGTTTGGAAGATGAGTCTGGGCGCTCTGGGAGGAACGCCCTCGCCTGTAGCTCTCCTCGGCGTCATCTCGATTCTCTGGGTTGCTCTCCTTGTCCATCACTTGTGACCAAAACCTAAAGAGATGTGGGGGTACGCCTGCCTCAGCTCCCTGGCCCTCAAACTGCGGATGCAAATCTGAGGGTGTGAGATTGCGTTAGCAGCTTAAAAAAGGTTTTCCAGTCCAGGCTAGCGTTTTTTGGCAATAAATTCCCTCACACCCAGCAGGCTTCTGATCTGCTTCCAACCAGCTCCGTGTGCCGTCAGCTGTCCTCAAGTCATCTCCCAGATGTTGCTCTCAAGCCAGCTTTGCTTTTTTGCTTCCTGATCCTTTCTCTCTCCACAAAGGCAGCGAGCTGACCCTTGCTGAGGCTGTGGCTCTTGATCTGACAGCAGACACAGGGGTCTTGGTGCTGACAGCCTTGCAGTCTTTTCTTCCTCTCTTTAGGGTCTAGGAGCAGCTGGCACAGCAACCTCTCCAGCACAAAACATTCCGGGTTTTCAAAATTGAAATGGAAATTTCTGTTGCTATGGTAAATATGCATAATGTAAATTTATCCTCTTACCCATTTTTAACTGTACATTTCAGTGGCATTAAGTACATTCATTATTGCCACCAATTGGTCTCCAGAAATTTTTCATCTGTTCGTCTCTCTCTTCTCTAATGCTTGCCAAATGTGGCAGGTAGCAAGTAGCCCACACGAGGCTCCGTGCCTGATGCCACCTCCTCTCTGAGGAGCACAGTCTTGGTGGGCAATCCGTCTGTCTCCAAATGCCTGCTGGAGAGTTTGAGCATCGTCATGTAGCACGAGTGCTCATGCTCCCAGCTGCCCACAGAGCTGGCGTCACACATTTAGGTTTCATCGTGGGCATTTCTGAGTGAGTCATGTACCACGAGCTGCTCTAACGCGTCTCCAGGCTGCCGGGGACTGTGCATAGAGGTTCCTTCTGTTTCACAGCACAGTCCCGGGGAACGTCCCGCTCTGCTGGCACGATTCTGGGGCTCAGCCCCTTCCCTTGCAGCTCTGCTCCCAGCACCTGTTCCCCGCCTCCAATCAGGAAAAGGGAGAGTCAGTGGCTCAGGCAGCTTCTCACAACGCGGCCGAAGGAGGCCACCCAACTTCTGCTCTCGTGCTCCCTGCTAGAAGGCGCAGAGGCCCACCCCTGGATGCCAGGAAGGTGGGAAGGGGCCCAGCCCTGGGGAGGCCGAGGACATGGGCCTGGAAAGGAGCTGCCACGGAGGTGGTTCCTGTTCAATGATTCTTCCAGTAGAAACATTTCTGTGTTGTTTCACTGGGGAAACTGGCTCTACCAGCTCTCTGCGACAACCTCCTCTGTGAGTTGCTAACTTCCTTTCCTTCTCTTCCCTGCCTCTGTCACCCTGCTGGGCACGTTCGATGTGACTGTCTTGGTGCCTCATTATGTAGAAAGATGTCCACTTGGGAACACAGTTGACTAAGGAGAGAATACCTGTTTCCAGGCCAAAACAGTTCCTGGGAAAATAGTTCTGCTGAGAGGTACCTTTTGGTGAATGACATTTATTCTTTTTCTTTTTTTAAAGATTTTATTTTTTTCCTTTTTCTCCCCAAAGCCCCCCAGTACATAGTTGTATATTCTTTGTTGTGGGTCCTTCTAGTCGTGGCATGTGGGACGCTGCCTCAGCGTGGTTTGATGAGCAGTGCCATGTCCACGCCCAGGATTCGAACCAATGAAACACTGGGCCGCCTGCAGTGGAGCTCCCCAACTTAACCACTCGGCCACGGGGCCAGCCCTAGTAACATTTATTCTTAATTGAAAAATGCAGATGGCATGAGGGGAGAGATATACAACAATAATAAATGTAAAAATCTGTAGAAAAAAAGGAAAAACGTGGATTTGGGGGTAAAGTTGTTAAATGACCAACCTTTACACACAGGCGGCTGGAAATCCCATCCTTGCGGAGTGCAAGTGATCTGCTCTTGGCCTTGAAGCTCAAATCCGTGGCGACAGGAAAACACCAGCACACGTTTCCCAGACTCCTCGCAGAGCACGAAGTCCCCGTTCTCCACTCCCTCTGGGGAGCCACACGTGCCGTCTGCACAGGGCGGAAGGCAGACACGGTCAGACGCGTGCGCTCTTCATCCACCCACTGTGAGGACGGCACCCACCCCTCCTGGGCCTCACCAGGATTTCGCCTCAGCACGTGCCGTTCTCTTGAGCGCACGGACAAAGCACGCTGCCCCTCAGCGTGACCCCTCCACCCACGCCTCGGAGCTGCCGGCCTCCAGCAAAGCCACCTTCTCGGATTCCCTCTTATTCGCTCGTAAATCAACTCTGATCCGGCTCCACTCCAACGTGACTGCTTCTGCTAAGGTCGTGCACGGCTCCTGCGTGGCTGAAGGCAACGCTCAGCTTCCGGCCCCTCTGACTCAGACCACCAGCAGCACTTTACAGAGCTGATCACGCCCCCGTGCAGCCGCTCTGCAGCCGGCTGCCCTAGAAACCCCTCCTGTCTCTCCGCGAGCTCCTCCTCAGCGTCTTCATCTCCGGCCCTCCAGCCTGAGCGAGTCTCTGGACTGTCTGAGGGCTTCTGCTTTCCAGATGCACTCACTGCTGTGCATCCTCCTTCTTTTGGCTTTAGATACAATTTCTGCAGATGGTGTATACAGATAAGTCCCAAATTCTTACCCTCTTCCTTGATTTCCACTCTTCCAAACCCAACTGACTTCCGCTCACCTCTGCTTAAACATCTAGCAGGCGGCTCAAACTTCATGGGTCCACAACGGAGCTGCCAACCTCCTGCCACAGTGGCTGTCTGTCTTCAGAATAGTTCTGCCCTCGGGGCCTTCTGACAACTTGCATTGCTATCCCCCGGGGTCCAGGTCACCTTCTTCCCTTCCCGGGAAGACGCAGCAGCCTCTCCAAGGCTCTTCCTGCGTTTGTTCTGCTCCCCCACCCACCTGCATCCCTAACGGGTAGGTGGCGGGGTCCCCATAAAGGTGGGTTGGACGTGTCTCCTCCACGTAAACTGGAAAAGTGCCCGTCACACGGGACGTAGCTGTTAGTCAACGTGAAGCTGCTGCTTGGAGCAGCTGCTGCGCACACAGCGCTGACGTCACACGTGACCACAGAGGACAAGTGAGTCATCCGTGCCGAGTACGGCTGAGGCTGGAGAGGCACCTTGACCTCTCCCGTGTGAAGGTGTGTGTAGTATGAAAAGCAAAGTCAGGAGATCATGTTAAGTCTCGGCTCTGTCACTGATTCGAAGACTAGTTTGCTGCATGTGACATTAACGTGGAAATCTCTGCTTTGCTAAACTAAATCCCGAATAACCTTCGGGTTCCTGGTGAGTCTTAAGTCTTCCCAGAGCCCCCTTCCCACAGCCACATGTTGGCCACTCTGTTGATGTTGAAAACATGTTACCGAGTCCACTGCTTCTGGACCCGTGGCGATTCTGCCCTCCCGCCAGGGGACAGCAGGCGATTCTGCATTTATTTTTGGTTGTCACAAGTCAGCAGGTGCTACTGGAGTCTAGCGGGGAGTGGCCAGGGCTGCTGCTACATCCTATGGGCACAGGACGGATCTCACAACCGAGCGTGAGCGCCCCAGATGCCACGGTGCGAGGCTGAGGCTGTGATGGAATCATTTGCTTGGCACCCACACAGCCACACAGGCCAGTGTCTTTCTGCAGAGAGGGCCCGGCTGGGGACTCTGTCAGACTGCCAGCTCCTTCCTCCGTGGAGGAGGGTGCATCCACGGAACGTGAGCAGTCCCCAAGGCAGAGGGCACAGTGCTGTCTTCTCCAACAGTGCTCATTCAAAGCAGCCCCTTGAGAGGTCACCCTTCCCGTGACGAAGTCCCCACGCTTCAGCATTATTTAAAGTTACCTTGAGGAAGGGCCTCCCTCCACACGGCCAGGTCCATGCCCGGGATGTCCTCGCACGACTCGAAGTCCTGGGGGAATGTCCCGACTCGGAAGGCTTCGGCGGGCACGCGGGTGAGGCCAGTGTTGTCGCAGATGACCCGAGACAGGGAGTGGCGCGCCAGCTCGCGCCTCTGAGCCTCGGTGAACACGTGGCTGTTCTCCCACCAGAACCTGCACAGAGGAGACAGCGGTGGGCGTGGGCATAGCACGGCCACGCACCCACCAAGCCCTGTCCTGCGGTTGCTTTGCACCAACGCGGTGCAGGGTGAGGCTTCGGGGGTGGGGGGGCGCGGGGTGGTGCCAGCGTGGACGGGCAGCGGCTGGCTGAAGGCCCAGCGCCAGTGGGAGCGGCTCCACAGACCATCCCTTTATTATGCATCAACCGTCCTGCTGCGTTGGTTTTCCCTGGGGAGGACTACTGTTTTTCACAAGCGAATGATGACAGCAAAGTCCAGCTTTCGTGGAAGTGCTGCTGTCTGCACTGAAGGCCCTGTGCCTGGTGAGGCCCTGTGCCTGGTCTTTTCCTCCAGGCTGTGGCCACTGGGGAAACTGAGACACTAAGAAATAGTCATCCCTGTCTCTCAAAATACTAAACTCATTGCCAAAGCCCGGGTAGCTCCTGGCCTGAATGCCACAGAGCATTCCTGTCTCTCTATCACATAACTCCTCTCTCCCCTGCACAGGAGCACTTTCCTCCCCTGCGAGAAAGAGGCCTCGTCACGGGCCAGTCAGCTTGTCAGTCTCTGTCCTGGGCAGACCCTCAGCTATGAGCAATCAGGCTGACAAACGCCCGCGTCCCTCCAGGGGCCTGTCCGCAGTGTCTGCAGGCGCCCTCCCAGCTGAGCCCATGGTGGTGGTGATGCTCACAGAGGAGACGCCAAGCAAAATGCCACCTTCTCAGTCAGTGGTTTCCTCATCCCGGAAAACCTCACGCCACACATGTTTGGTAAAGATACAGTTCCAAGAGAGATGGCTTCGAGTCCTTTCTCCTCAGGTATCTTTAACTACGTGAAAAGCCGCGTCTCAGAAACTGATGGTTAAAGTTGTAAGAGAGGAAGGACAGGAAGCTTAGGGTGTGGTTAATGAAAGGATGTGAATATTCTTGAAAAACACCTGACCCAGGCACATGATTACAAAGAAAGAGAGAACTGGAGGTGTAACGATATTAAAGGAGGAAAAGAAGGCATAGTCCCGTTGCTGTCTCCATTGTCCCCAGATGCCTGTTTCATCACCGGCTGCAGCTCGTGGAGCCCAGAGCCACACACAGGAGCAGGCGCTTTTCCGACTCGCTCTGCTGTGCAAGGTTCAAAGCTATAGGTTCACGTTGACAAGGGAACAAACTGTGTACACGCGAGTGAGCTGGACCCTCCACTGTCTGCTGCGAAGGAAGCTCCACTGGGGCCGGAGGTCTGGGGCTGGAAAGGGGAGGGCGGCGTGCATGCGTGCAAATCAAAGCGCCCGCTGCACTCCGCACGCTCCAGCGCCTTTGTCTCAGCCGCTCAGTCAGGCTCCGCTGCCCAGTCTCGGCAGATGGGGTCAGAGGATTCCAGAGGTGGATGGAGTTTGGGGGCCACACAATTTCCTCTTCACATGATGCCTGCTTGTCTGTGTGAGTAGATGACACGGACAAACCAATGATGGCTCCCACATTAAGTGCCCAGAACGTGCTCTGTGCTTTGAATTTATTTCCTTTTGTGTCAATCCAGTTTTATGGCTGAGAAAACTGTGAGAGAAATAACCTGCCCAGGGCCACAGCGTACCGAGCCATGGAGCCAGGACTGGAAGCCAGGTCTGGCTGGGCCCAGGTGAACCCTGCAGAACGCCGCCTTCTGCGTAGCCCACGGGAGCAACCCATTACAGACACCTACCGGTCACCATCCCGCAGGGCCTTCATTTGCTTTCCAATGATGCACGCAAACAGGGGGCCTGTTCGAGCCTTTGGGAGGAAGTTTTCGGCTAAGCCGCCCAGCCAGACATCAATGTTGTCAGGGTGCTTGTACAAGTCCATTATCCTGTCAGCAATACTCCTGTTGGCAATGGCGGTGTTCAGGTCGGCCCGGGTCTCCAGCCGGGGCAAGCCGCAGAATTCTCTCCACTCGTTGTAACCTGCAGAGGGAAGAGAGGCCGCAGACAGGCTTCCTTGCACAGGGGTCAGATTTTCATGCCGTCTCCCTCATTATGGACCTGTGGTCCATTGAAAGTTGTGGCTGCAGCCATGGAGTCCTGCCCATAACGTCAGCCACAGAGAAAGCCACTCCATTACCCTGTGCCCCGCAGAGTTCAACACTTGAGAACATCTCAGCAGGGGCTTCAGGGTCTTATTGGAGCATCTGTTCATAAACAAGCTGGGAAGAGCAGCAATGCCGAATGCAAGACCCCGAGCGGATTCACATCCTTACCCCACATCCTCAATTCCCGTCTCGACAGAGCAGCTGAGACAGGTCCTCACCTGTCACTTAGAGTTTATCTTCTTAACAACAGTGAGAGCTCAGAGAGGACACAAGCAGCACACTTGTTCATGCTCTTGCCCACACACAGGAGAGGGTCGCACGTGGGCATCTTTATTTGTCCAACCAGCTGTACCCTGTATTGAGGGTCTCTCCCTGTCTCCTGCTGCTTCAGGGTGCTCTCAGCATCTGGTCCCTGATGAACTCCGGCTTCTTCTATCTCTCCTCCTCCCTTCCCCTCTGACCCTGCAGTGCCCACTGCCCCAGAGTGGAGGCTCCTGTCTCCAGCCGGGCTGAGCCACTGCCATCCCCTGAGATGCTCTTTCCTCGTCTTGTGCCCTTTTAGACCCACCCAGCTCCTTACACCTACGCCCTCATCCCACTGATCTTCCCTTAGGGTCACCTCCTCAGAGCCTTCCTTCCTCTTCAAGGTGAGGTGACATGAACTTCGTCCCTAGCACCAGTCCTGAGTCTAACCAGAACGCTTGTCAAGGTTCTGTGTTGTTTTCTCTTCACTTATCCACCCGCCATCTGTGCTCCTTTCATGAGACCCTGTCTTGGTTTATTCCCAGTGCCTCTTGCATAGTAGATGCTCAGCAAAAGGCCACATGCACACGGCACACAAAGAAATGCATCTATGACTGGACCGGACTGGTTCTCTCAGGGATGCTGAGGCATCCACGGGACAGAGACCTGGGGGCTCGTGCTGAGGCTTCTGGTCAGACGAAATAGGAGAAATTATCACATATTTTCCAGTTAGAGTCAGAGGGGAATGTAAATGATAAAGAGACTTGCTGAGCCAAGGGAGGGAAACCTTCCAGTTACAGAGGACAATTTGGAACAACATAAATTAGATGAAAGAAGAGAGGAACTGAAGAAAGAAAACACTGGTGAGGATTAAAATCTGAGCTTTTAAAAAACTGCTGTCAAATGTGTTGGGTCATGTTTTAAAAAGGCAGGACCCACGACTTAACTTCATGAGGGGCAAGTGTGTGCGTGCATTTTGCGCACGCATTGGAGCATGGCCAGCCTGGTTGGTACCCCAGCCGAGTGCTGCTGCATCTGGTGTAGGTTACCCAGAGCTCCCCCAGAAGATGCTGTGCTGCAGTTCAACACCTGCCACGTGTGCACAGGCTCTTATGACGTGTGATTCTGTTTCCACATGGGCCACCCCAGGCCTCTGTCAAAGACACCGGGGAGGCCCACTGCCTCCCTCTTAGAGGTGCTTTTATCTTGACACTCTTGGCACCGCCACTGGTATTTCTTCTTCATCACAGAGCCTATGATGTAGTCTATTTTAGGCCCAACCACCACAAACATATCCTCCAAATTTCCCATGATCCAGTAACTGATAGCATGGAAGCACCAAGTTTGATTTAACACATATTCCCAGTGCCTGCCACAGGGCTTGCGGAACACAGCAGTGATTTCACTGAATATCTGCTAAAAGAATGCATTTATCTGCAGGATAGTCAAAACCCAAAATATTAAGTGAACCAAAGTTCTAAAGTTAGGAGGGGATGTTTCTGTGGTAATATAGACTATCTTTATTTAAGTGGTAAAAGGTAAAAAATAAAATCTTTCCGCACCTTGGGGAGATTGGCCCTTTAAGTTTTATATAGGAAAAAAGGAATTAGAAAGATACTTCCCTTTCCTTTTGCTTTAAGAGAAACCTATTTACTTCCTTCTCCAACTCCAGAGGGAAAACCTGCAGTGTCTGGGAGTGTGGTAGATATCAGGGAACAGGGCTGGAGCACACAGGACCCCAGAGTGCGGAAGGTAAGAATACAAATTTCAGACATCCCTGTCTACACGAGACAGAGGAGGGCAAGGGATGGAAAAAACGTCTTTTGGGGAATGTAAGTTGGATATTTTATGATCCAAAGTAAAACAAAAGAAGACCCCCTAATATGGTGGAGCTCATCACCACATCATGATAATGAGCATTACTCAGTAAGCTTATTGTCTAATTTAGCCTCAGATCTAACTAATCAGGTCTGATTAAGTGTCCATTATGTCTGTGGCCTTCGTGTGGTGTCCAATTTTCCCCCCTTGCCAGAACTGAGCATTGGGGCAATGCCTGAACCCTTTATGCCTCAGTCTCCTTAATTTTCTTAAGTGATCACAATTCAACCTCCTAAGGCTTTGGGGGGATATAAATAGCTAATACGTATAAAAGGTTTAGAGCAGGCCCTTAGAGCAGGTTTGCGAGGGCCTGAGCAGAGAGGGACTTGCTCCTGGCAACAGGTCTGTGAAGAGTCACCAACACACATCTAAGCACTCAAGCCAGCAGAAAGAGACATCTGTGGTGTGGTCCCCATCCTGGAGGAGCTCACAGGGCACGCAGGGAGAGCAGATCTGTGCACAGAAACCGGGTGGCAAGTAGCTAAGGCCTCGGACAGGTAGGTCAACCAGACAGCTGAACCACAGGAGCCCAAAGTGGAAAGGCCATGGTGGGCAGGGGGTCAGGGGTTGCCTCAGAGAAGAACGATATGAATTGAGACAGGTGGCAGAGGTTAGGGGTCCAAGTAGGCATGAACAACGTGGGGATGGGGAGAACACAGGGGCAGCTGCCTGGCCCAAGGATAGGGTCACGCCAGTGTCCAGGAGATTGGACCAGCTGGTTAGAGACAGCCTGAAGGCCACAGAATGACGTCTGCTGGCCCGAGGACAGTATGAGAGGGAGAGACAGGGAGCAGAGCGGGCATTCCGACCTCCCCGTGCGTGTGTGCTGTGCTGCAAAGGCCTGCCCCAGGGAGCCAGAGGAGACTCGCCCTTATCTGCCCAGGAGACTCGGCCTCTCTCTTCTGGGACATGCTCTTTCTAAACGCCTCGGCTCCCTCCCTGCCGGGAGCCTCCGGGCCCTCTGCATGCTTCTGTTGTCTAAGGACAGCTGAAGGGCCTCTTCAGTCCCACAAACTAGAGCAGGTCTTTAAAAGCCCAGTTCTTAGAAGTTGCAATAGATTTGCAGGCTCGTTTTACTTCAGATCAGCCTCTCAAAGAACAGGGCGCTCATCTGGCAGGGCCCACAGCAGACGCGGGAGGCGATCATTGGAAAGGGGCCCCGGCCGGTGGCAGACCTGGCAGGCCATGGTCCCGGCCCCTCTGCAGGTTGAGGGACGCCAGATCCAGGGTGCCCGAGTTCGCCAGCACGAAGAGCCTCTCGGTCAGCTCCTGGTTCATCAGCTGGTCCTGCACCTGCAGCTTGGCTGGTCTCGCGAGAAGGCCCCTCACGACGGGGTCCAAGCCACCTGCAAAACACCATGGGAGAGGGAACGAGATTTCTCTGAGGAGTTCTGGAGAAACAGAATTGCAGCTCGGACCATAAACTATGCTGGCTCCTGACAAATGCCTGTCTTCAGTTCAGAAGTTCACCTGTGTGATTCCAGAGTTTTCCAAGCGCTCTTAGGCTGAGCCCTGTGGGTGGGTGAGCACCCGCCTGGATGCCCCCGAGGACCAACCCTATGGTGCGTGGAGATCGGGCCTCTGTGTCAAAGGGACCCAGAGACGGACCCCGTCAGTTCCTGAAGTTCTGTGTTTTGTTTTTTAGCAGCAGAAATGTCACGGTCAAAGGAAGAATTTGCTGAATTCTAATCTACAACAGGCACAGGCAGACGTGGCCTGGCCGAGGGAGCAGTCAGCGTGCCCAGGGACTCCACTCCTGCCACCTCCAAAAGCCCAGCCCTGCCCATAAGATCCCATATGGAAAGGAGACCCCCTGCTCCCTGCCACCCCCACTCACAGGGAGTCTGCGTCTTTTCTCGGCCCTGTTCCGTCTCATGGTGCCCCAACTGCACAGCCCAGAGACTGCGATGTGCTGGGCCCTGGGGCGGCCTGGGCACCATCCATGCCGGGTCTCTGGGGACCCTGGCTGACCCCTGGCCTCTCTCCCACAAGCTCTGCGTGAAGCGGTGTGGGAGCAATTGCATGTGCAGTGGCTCCTCCCACTGTCCCCCTGCCCCTGCCCCCCCGCACGTCTGCCTGCAGCCAGCCCACCTTCGGAGGCAGCTTAGAAGCTTCAGGACGGACCAGAGACAGCACTGAGGGGAGTGGAAATAACCCTTCCGAAGTCACCTGGGAATCCACGTGGCTTTTCCAAACGCTTCCCCAGGAAACCCAGCCGTTAACCCTAGCCCTGCATGGCTGCACACGACATGCACGGTTAGAACAAACAGAACGTTCCGTGATAAAAACAGCACCAACACAGCCTGCAGGTGCAAAGGCGGTCTCCGCCGGAGTAGTTTGAACTAAGGGCTGGAGGGGGACCTGCACCTGGACAGCTTCTCCCGGGAAATCTGAAGAACCTCAGGAACCTGAGAGAAGGCGTCTTTGAGGAATGGCTTAGCCCTTTAAACAGCTGTGAATACACCTATTTTCTCTGTAGACACGGACGGCTGGGCAGCGCTCACCCACCCCCAGGGGAAGGGCAGAGCGCTGGGGCCGGGCAGGGCGGGAGGAAAGCCGGCCGGGCGCACCTTCCCAGAGGAGCCGCCAGGGCCTGAAGAAGGCGTCATGCAGCGGCAGCCTGGGCAGCGCCGGGTGCTCCTGGAAGCGCGCGTCCAGCCGCCGCACCAGCGGGTGGACCGTAGCGTGACCGAAGCGGAAGGCGGCCGTGGAGAACACGTTGGACACCGTGGGGTCCACGGCGGGGTCGTAGCCCTCGTAGGGGCCCACGAGCCGCCCGAAGGCCTCGGGGCCCAGGATTCGGGGCACGTAGTCCCGCATGGTGATGATCTGTGGAGAGAGGAGACAGGCGGGCTGCTGAGCAAAGGGGTCCAGACTCAGCTACGGCCGGGGTGACAGGAAGAAGGCGCTTCCCCCCACATCTCTGGGGGTTCAAGGCCGTCCCAGGAGGGGTGTGGCATCCAGGAAAGGGAACAGGTGAGCTGGTGAGCAGGTACAGCAGCACAACCGTTCCTGATAAAGCCCTCGCAGGCCTCCGCATGTATGGGGCTGGGCAGGGCATGTCAGAGACGCCCCCAAATGCCTGCCGGGGCAGCCCAGAGCAGGACAGCGCAGACAAACTTGGGGGACCCAGAGCACTAACGCGGGGGCTGCCAGCTGCTGTCTCCTTTCAGAAACATGTAAGCCTTCTCAACCAAACCATCTCCTCCCTTGATTCCGCTCCATCTGAGACATTCCGGTGACACCTGAACCTGAAGCGAAAGTCAGAAATCTAGTCGCTTTGGGGAATCCTGGCCCCAGAGCTCAGGATTTAGACCCACATGAGCTCTGATCCTCTAACCCTGCTTCTTAGCTGTGTGACTCCGGGAGGGTCGTTCACCCTTTCTGAGCCTGTGTCCTTGTCTGGAAAAGCCTCTTTCATAGAGTTTTTGTGAGAATAAAAAAGATGCGTTCTCCTGTATGTTGGACAGGTCATGCAGCGTCACATACAGATAGAATATGCAGTCAACGTGCATATTATACAGCAGATCACACAGGTCCGACGCTCCTGCCCCCAGGTTTAAGGGAAATAATACACAAGCTAAAGGTTACAGAACAATCTGATGGCTCTCATAGGTTACGATTAAAGCAGGGACTCAGACCCCTGTCTCGTTCCTTCTTGTTCCTTTCTGCATTGTCTCCATCAACCACTCCTTGGTCCTTTGGCGGAGCCACAGACACAGGCGGTAAAGGGCATTGGGGGTTTCGGCAGGCACTGAACTTGCGCCGTGGGTCTTACAGGTGAGTCTGAATTCCCAGTTTTTGTCCCACCCTGTGAGGACGCATTGCATCGTCTGACCTGAGAGGACAGACACCGTACAGGGAATGCGGATCACGTCATCTGTGATCAGATGGTGAAGCGAGAAAGGCTCGGCACCCCTTGCAGATCTGACCAGCTCTCGCGTACACAGTTTCTGGCCCCAAATTAAAGGCCTTAAACTGAGCTTCTCAGAAAGGGCATTTTTTTATGGATCTTCAGGAGGTGCATTAACAGGCTAATTCAGGGCTGAATTCCAGGATGATGATGGGCTGCTGGTGGCCCAGGTGGCTCCTCGCAGGGAGGACCCAGGGGGCGGGCACAAAGGGGGCCTCGGACCCGGGCACGGAATGACCCTCTGCAGGGAATCGACATCGAGCAGCTCCTCTGTGTCAGCAATAACACGTGATTCCAGAGCTTTCGCCAGGATTAGGTCAAAGGAGCACGCAGACGAAGGACCGTGCCGACGGTAAATGATGGTGCCTTGTGATTTCTAGGTCACTCGTGGTCCCAGGAGAATTACGTACAAGGGTCTGCTTTCAGGTTTAACAGTATTTCTTTCAGCTCTGAAAATCAGTCAAGTTGTTTTGGTATTTAAAGAGATTATTTTGGTGAATAAATTGCATTTAATGAGGTATAAACCAATAGGATTCTAGGATTCTATCCTTGAATAGAAGGGTCTTATATTTGGCTTATGGGTTTAAGAAGGTAAGCTGTTAACCTTCTCAGAATGTTGAAAAGAGAACAAACAGCATTCGTGTACTTGTAGCAATATATTGCTTCCAAACGATGATGCGTTTTCTGAACGCAGGATTTGTTACTTCACGGGAGTAACAAACTCGGGGCTGGGGAGCGAGTTCTGGCCTGTGGACGGGAGACTTCAGATTCAGGTAAACTGTTTCAATGGCACCTCTTCCCTTCTCCTTGACCTGCGTTTGACCTGGGGTCCCAGAGGGCGGCAGCGGGATCCTGAGGGCACCTGCTGATACAGGCTGAGGTGGCTCCTCTCCTCCCAAAGCAGCTGCTCCTACAGAGCACGACCCGGCGGTTCCCGGATCCCGGGCATCCTCAGTGTGTGACCTTGCCCGACATCCCCTCTTCGCTGCTTTCTCGGGGTCTGGTCTGAGATGCAGCTGTGAGCGATGGTGCTCGAATGCCCGCAGTGCTCCCCAGGGCAGGGCAGCAGTGCCCTTTGTTCTGATCGACAGGGCCTTAAACGTTCGACTCACGAGCAGCTCTTGGGAATTTCCACAGCAATTCTTCTGAAAACCCCTCCGCTGTTTCCGTGCTTGGTCACAGGAGGCTGGAACACCATCATCAAGTCCCTGTGTCTCCTGCCTCGTCTTCCTGGGTGTGTGGGGAGGTTTCCTTCCTCTCCTGGCGCCTCTTGGATCTCCATCTCCTGAGGGCGACCTCCGTCTGGCTTGTCCATCCTCGTCCAGACCTTCTGGTTCCCTGCCAGTTCTCGCGGAGACCATGGGCTTGGGCATCTGGACCTCTGCTCGCCTTCGTGGACAGCACGGAGGAAGGATGGCAAGGAGTGGGGATGGAGGGAGCCGGCCGGGAGGACCAGGAGCAGAGGCCTGCACCGCAGTCATTGTGAATGGGTATTTGGGAAGCACTGACTCAGCCAAATGTGCCCCTCACTCGGAACCTCTCTTCTCAGCAGGGCTAGCCTGCTCCCTGCAAAAAAGTCAGTCACATTCTCTCCAAAGTGCCGGGGTGGTCTGGTATAACCAGTGCAGGGTTGGCTCCCCAGAGATGGGCGTTCTCCAGCATGTACCGAGGGCTGCTCAGTGGGCTGACTGCTCCGGGTGAGCTGGGGGTCCAGGTTTGCTGTGTCCTGGAGGCAACCCTGGAGTGGGAACCACCTGGACATGGTCTGCCTGGAGGCAGGGCCTGGCTGCCTGGAAAGGTGGGCCCGGGGGCTGGAGCCACCGCAGCTCACGTCTGGATAGAGGCATGTAGACCTTGTCCACGGACATCCAGGGCACCAGGGGCCAGGGAGGCAAAAGCTCCTACCGAAGGATATCCTTTCTCGAATCTTCCCGGCACCGGCAAAGGAGCCCATCGTCCATCTTTATTGGTCTCTCTCTCTCTTTGGGAAGAGTAATTGACCTCAAGACAGGCTCGTCAGGTGCAGCCAAGACCCACAGCTGAGCTCAGCTGACGGTCCTCCCCTCCCTGAGGACCCGCCCTCCTCCAGACAGGCCTCCACAGGGAGGTCTGCCCCTCTGGGTCTGGCCTGGCCTCCTAGTTAAAGCCTCTTCTGGCCCCTGTGGTTCTGGGGAAATGAAGGCTGTTCTCTGGGAGCCGGCTCTGCTCTCTGATACCTGGGGATACACAACATCCAAACCGAAGGCCCTCACCTGCTCCCTTGCAGGCCACCACTCGGCATCGCCGGACCGCACTCAGACTGGGCCAGAACTCCCGTCCCTCCTCTGCCCTCACACCTGTGCTGGCGTCTTTCCTCTCTCACCTTCTGCCGGTCTGTAGGACACGGGTCCTGTCAAAGTGAGCCTCTGATTCTGTGTTCTGTGTATCACACTAGATTAACTTAGGGATTGTGTAAGTGTGAGAGCTTCCATCTTAGTGGCAGGAGGTAGGGCTTATGGAATTGGGGACCTGTGGGACCTGAGGCCACCAAGGGCATATTTTCCTGAGCACATCCTCTGTAAACGTCCTGAGATGATGCCGGCCTCGAGGAGCAGGCGCAGAGGGAGACCCCAGGCAGGCACCCCAGCAGAGGACCGCCGTTCCGGGGGCCAAGTGGATACCTCAGTCAGTTCTCTACGAATGAATCCAGAGCAAAGATCTTCATGGAGGGTGGGGTGGGGGTTGGGCCTTCAGAGATGTGGGGCAGCTGTGAGGCTGGACAGAGGCAGGAGACGGAGAAGGGGCTTCCTTGTCCTGAGGCTGGGCCTCCTGCTTCTGGCTGGTTGGGAGGACCAGGAGCAGAGAGCCGAGCCCTGTGTCACGCTGGCCACGGCGGGCTCTCAGGAGGAGGGGCTGGGTGGGTTGACGCTCTCTCTCTTTTTAAAGTTTGCCCTGATATCCTTTTTAATTACCTAATGCTTTTCAGGAGGAGAGCTTCAGATCCTAAGGTTACCAAACGGTGGGTCAGTAAAACCAGGGAAAGGAGAGCAACAGTCTCCCAGCCACCGTGGCTCTTTCAAACACAGCTCGAAGTCTCGGCTGTGGTTTTAGAGACACGTTGCACACAGCTGCTCGTCATTTTAAGGTTTCAAAGATATTTGGAAAAAACACTAAGGAGAAGCTATTGGCTGGAAAAAAATGCAAAAAGAAAACTGAAGGTGAAATGCAAAACTAAGAAGAAAAGAGTATTAATGCTTTAAAAAAGCAGAAAACAGCGGAACTGGTGGTATGCAGCACCAGGGCACTTTCCTACTGACCATGGTTATTTACCGACTGGGAAGAGCCGGCAGATGGACGGCAGATGGACAGCAGATGGACGGCAGCTCTCCCATGGCAGCCAGGACCCCGGGACCTCCAGAGCCACGCCCTCTCCCATTAACAAGTCCAGGGCAATGCAGCAAGTGAAGCTCACCCTCAGCCACCAGAACCATGCTGGGCAGAGACAGGGCACCTGAAAGCCGTGGCCCCTCTCTGGGCACAGGCCGGCAGACCTGTGATCCAGCAGCGCATCCCAGGCCCTGAGCTGCTGACACTCTTCCTCCTCTGATGACGTTGAAACAAAATCCTGGCTCTCGGGGGACAGCTGGGCAGGGCCCGGGATTATTCTTGGGATCACGGCTTCATTCATAAAGTCGACATATATTCCGGCAGCGCCTGCTTTGTGCCGGGCCCACTTTTTCCAGGTGCTGGGAAAGAATTAGACCAACAAAACCCTGGCTCCTTGGAGCCCCCATTCGGGGAAGGGCACAGACGGATCCTAACAAAATACCCAAAAACACACAACACACTGGGGAGTAGCAACCGGGAAAGGGAGAGTGATCCATCACCCCGATTTCCCTCAGACTGACAGTGTGCCCGAGGGAAGACAAGAGGAAATGGAAACCTGAACGCTGCTGTCTCCTGACTGAGTGAGACCCTGCCATGCTGGGGAGGCCGGGTGATGGGTGGCAGCCACCTGAACTTTACTCAAGACCCGGCTGAGCTTCCTGGTCACGTCGCTCTGCCGCCCTCCAGATGCTCCAGTGCCCTCCTCGCAGATCCCACCTGGCGTGCCCTGCTATGGTGTCCACTGACCCATCCATCACAGCCCTCCGGCCAGGCTGCGGGTCAGCGAGGGGGCTCCCCAGACTCAGCCTCGGGGGTCAACACAGCCTCAGGCAGACTCTGGGCTTGTGTGCCACGTTCCCGCTTCACGGTGCCTCTCCTGCACCCACTCGACACTCACACATGCACACAGGTACCACAGGTGCCACACACACAGCACACACACCACAGACACGCAGCACACGTCACACACACACGTACCACACCCCCCCAACCCCCTCCCCACACACATACTCAGCCTCAGCTGATGCTCTCTTCACACACACGGGTGTTAAAACGTGAAATCTTTGTGTGGCTGGAGAAGAATCGCCAGCACCGGCCTGCAGACCAGCCTCGCCTGGAGCGCAGAGGAACTGGGGCTCCTGGCTCCCCAGCATCTACAGGGTGACCTGGCACAGCCGGGCTCTGGGACCTGGGGTCGGACCCTGGCTGCCTGGGCCATGGTGGACCAAAGGCGGGAAAGCCGGGCTGTGCCCAGGACGGCCCATGCCATCACCAGGTCACTGTGAACCTGGACAAGACCCTACCTCCTCCTCCTAGCACGGGACGAACAGGGTCCTTGTGAGGACAGAGGGACGCCTAGTGCCCAGGCAGGGCCTGGAGCACCGACACAGGCGTGGGGACCATCAGCGTAAGCAACCCCCTCATTCCCCAAACGGCCCTGAGAGAGCAGTGACGGCGGTGACCCAACCCCACAGGCGTTTTCTCCACCACCACACGACTGAGAAATGGCCACCCCCAAACCCCGTCCCCGCTCCTCTGACTCAATGTCAAAATTCATCACCACAGACTCAGTTTACCTCGCTAGTCCCCAGATCCCACACAGATTGTTTTCCTCTGCATTTTCTCCATTGTTTCTAAAACATAAAAATATCAAAACCATTGGTGGACACCCAGCTCAAAGGGCTGCTTTGAGGATTAAACGGCTAAAATCCATAAAACCCTTGGAACAGTCTGGGCGCCTGGAGAGCCCTGGAGGAAATGAGCCGGGACTCGCTGAGTAGCTGTGGCCATTGTTGATCATCCTCACCGCCCCCCTACAGGGGAGGAGCAGCTGCCACAAAGGAGCTAGCACCGAGTCCTCCCGCAGCGGGCTGCGTAACCCCTGAAGGCTTTGCGGGCGCCCACGCAGTGCGCCCCGGATGCCCTTGCTCGCACCTGGTGCAGGGCGCCCACGATCTTGCGCGCCTCCTGGTAGGCGGTGTCGGCGCTCCAGTGCGCGTTGAGGGCCTTGAGCGCCGCGGCCAGGCGGTTGTGCTCGCGCAGCCACAGCGTGTGCACGGCCGCCAGGGAGGGGATCTCGCTGGCGCGGCCGTCCCCGGCCAGGAAACAGGGCGCACGGGCCGCGGGGTCGGCGCCGGGCTCGGGGGCGCAGGCCGAGGGCGTGGGCGGCGGCACGAAGGGCAGGTACGCGCGGCCCGCGTCCTGGTGGCGCGTGTTGACCCGCAGCAGCCCCTCGGCGCTGGTCCAGTTTCGCAGCAGCTTCTCCGAGGCCGGCGAGCTGCCGTACACGGTGGACGCGTCAAGGAAGGAGGTCAGCCCGTTCATCTGCTGCCGCGGGTGTGCCGAGGACACGTTGCCGAAGAGGGCGCCCTGGGTGCCGGTGCCGCAGGCGGCGGAGGAGCGGTAGAAGGGCAGACAGGCAGGGCCCGCGGTCAGCGAGGCGTCGGCGGCGGGGAGCTGCCGGGAGAGGGGACACAGGTCAGCCCGGGGGCCGGGGCACCTTCGTAAAGACACCAGAAGCTCCACCGTCTCCGCCAGTGTCCAGTCCTGCCACCTGCCGCCAGTTCAAGCCAGCGCCCCGCTCCTCCCCGGGTCGGGGGCTTAGACAGGGTTGGGGTGCAGCTTGCTATGACTGATGCACCGTCGGGGTGCTCGTTTCTCCTTTCCCCAAATTCTTCCTTTCGTTCTACTTTATTTACGTGCCTCACCTATTGGGGCCTGCTCTGCAGATGCTCGGACTATGGTAACCGCTGGTTGTGCGTCTGGCTCGCCCAGCGCACGCCTCTTCCAGGGGGCCGCCTTCCTAGCCAGGGCACAGCCAGCGGAGCAGCTGCTTGGGGAGGGTTTATGGAACGAAGGCTAGTGAGCGCCTGAGCCCGGAACAGTCTTTGCTGGTAGGTAGAAAGCAGCCCTTGTCAGCTTCAAAGGTGTTTTCCAAAGAGAAGTAATTAAAAATCCTGCCTGGACTGTCTCTCTCCCTGCTGGTAAGAGGGGCAATCAGAGCCATATTAATGTGGAACAACTTTGCAGTATCTATCCAAATTTTACTGCACCTGCTCAAGAGCTGCCACTCTGTCCCCAGTGACTTGTCTGTTAGGCATGCACGTGTGCGCGGAGGTTTAGGTTGGAATATGTTCTTTGCTTCATTTATGACAGTGTAACAACAACAACAAAGTGGAAACAACTTAAATGCTCATTAATAAGTGAACCGGTTAAATGAGTTGTAATGCATACTCAATGGGATGTTAAGAAATCATAAAACAATCCAATTTCTGTCCACTTAATGATATGGAGAGAAGCGCAAGAATTATTGCCGAGTGACCCAGGTTCAGAGCAATGCAGGACACAGGTACATAAATAAAGCCTGTGCACACACGTATGTATGTCACATGCACATATGTGCATAGGAAATTCGTGGAGGTTGTTGCCTCCCCCCTCCCCCCAACAGGACAAACCGGGACTCGGACGTTTTATCTTACGCCTTTCTGCTTGACTTTTTTAATGCATCTATTGGTTTCATGGTAGAAATTGAGAAGCTTAACCTCTGACCTGTATGGGGAAGCAGGGGCTTCGGGTCTCGCATGTCAGCTGGCAGTCAGCACCGCCCCGGAAGGCGGCTCTGCTGGTGCTCTGGGGCGTGAAGGCGATGTCGTGGTCGATGTACTGGCCCCACGCTGTCAGGAGGTCGGAATACTGGTCGTCCTCTGTAACGGCCTCGTTGGAGACTTGAATGACTTGTCTGGTCACCTCCCGGACCTGGGTGCCAGAGACCACCTGTCTGAGTGGGGAGCACTGAGAGAGACATGGCACTTGGAGTGCGGTCATTTGTGGGGCTCGCTCAGGGGCCAGGGCGCCTGCACGTCATGGTGCGGTGCATGCAAGTTAAGAACAGAGACCTCAAGAATTTAAAATTATGGACCAAGAACAGTTTAGTGGATACCAGGGGAAAGGTGGGGTGCGGGGTGGGCACAAAGGGTGAAGTGGTGCACCTACAACATGACTGACAAACATTAATGTACAACTGAAATTTCACAAGATTGTAACCTATCAATAACTCAATAAAAAAATATATTAAAAAAAAAAAAAAAGGAAGAGAGACCTCAGCTAAACTGGGTCAGGAGGCCTGCAGGGGAGCACCCAGCCCATCAGACGTCCTCCATTTCAACAAACGGGAAAAGGCAGACGCCTGCATCCCCACAGGAAGCATAACTACTTTAGCACTGAAGGAAGATTGGTCTCCCCACCTGGCAACAGCTCAGCCAATGAGAAACAGTGCTGCTCAGCCAATGAGAAACGCCACAGCCCAGCCAATGAGAAGGCGTTCCAGCCCTGATGTGTTTCTCTCCCCCAATGGTCTTTCCTTTAGAACAGCCCCGCCCTCTCCCCCTTTTCTATATAAAGGCAGTTCCCCTCTGTTCTATGGGTTTGCCTACAGTTTGCCAAAGCACGCATGTCCCAGATTGCAATTCTTTTGGCTATTCCTGAATAAACTTGTCTTGAGATTAAAATAACAGGCAGCTTTGCTTTTTAACAGGTGCTGGTGCAGAGGACAGCTGGTGCTCGTGGAAGGTGAAGTCCCTGGGGTTGTGGTGGGAAGACAGACACCCAGGCTGTGCTCCGAATGCCGCACTGGTTTGTGGTCATCCAGGCCCTCTCAGTTAACTGCTCTGGGCCTTAGTGTCCTCATCTGTAAATGGATGTAAACATGTTGCTGTGCTTTGGGGATTAAATTCTGAGTCATTGATTAAACAACTAGCCATTAGTGCCATATAGCCCATGACTCAGAGGGTGGAGCTTCAAGTCACAGAGGGTGGTTCCCAGGCCCTGAAACCTAACGGAGTTTGCCTGGCCTGATTTCAAAGTTGTTTGGGATCAGTGATTTCTTCTTTCCTTCCGTGTCCTCCTTTCTGAAACAGGATGTCTGCAGCTGTTGTCCTGTGCCTGTCCTACCAGCATATTTTGGCAGCAAACAACAGTTTTCTAGTTTCACAGGTCCAAAAGGAGAGGAATTTTGCCCCAAAAGGGGTCTTACTAAGAGCCTCCCCCATACCTGATGTAGATTATTTAGGTGATGAGATTTGGGACTCTTAACATGCTGAGATTTAGATCAGATTTTGGACTTTGAATTGATGCTGTAATAGGCTGAGACTTTTGGGGGCCTTGGGATGGGGTAAATACATTTTGCATGTGGAATGGATATGAATCTTTCAGGGTCAGAGGGTGGACGGTGGTAGCGTAAGTGAGCATCAGTGAGGCCATCTTGTTATGTTAATGGCTAAAAAGGCGAGCGGTCTGTGTGACTACTCGCTGCTTTGCACGTACTCTGAAACATTCACGTGCCCTCCTGACTTATGGCCTCCACTTGCGTGCGTGCTCCCCAAAGACCTGATAAATTAAAACTCTGTTCTATGAGTTTCTCTCCAAGAACAGGCTGACCACAGGTGGGAAACACACCTACAAGGCGTCCGTCACAGTTGATGGAAGAACGGAACAATGTGATGCTTGGAGACCAACATCCCTGGACCTCTCCTTATTGCCCATGTCCCCTGTATAACTGCCTCAAGATTCTAGAGTCCTTGGAGGTGGGCTTCTGAGATATTAGTCACCCATCTTCCAATTAGCTGGCTAATCTAATTAAACTTCCTTTCTTCATCTCCAACTCGTTGTGATTAATTGGCTCAGATCACGGTGAGCAGAGTCACTCCATTGCTTAGTCTCAGTAGGCAGAATAATGGCCCCCCCAAAGATGTCCATACACCAATCACTGGAAACCGAGAACATATTACTTGACACAAAGGGGACTTTGCAGATGTGGTTCCTATAAAGACCTTGAGATAGGGAGATTATCCTGGACTTCCAAGTGGATCCCATCTAATCACATGGTCCTTAAAATCGGAGTTTTTTTGTTTGTTTTTTTTTTTTGCCGAGTAAGATTGGCACTGAGCTAACATCTGTGCCAATCTTCCTCTGTTTTATGTGGGATGCCACCAAAGTGTGGCTTGGCCAGCAGTCCTAGGTCCTCACCCAAGATCTGAATCTGTGAACCCCAGGCCACCAAAGTGGAGCATGTGAGCTTAACCACTATGCCACCTGACTGGCCTCAGAGAACTTTCTTGACTGTAGTCACGGAAGATGAGGTTTTGGAAGGGAGGCACAGAGAGATGCAATGCTGCTGGCTTTGGAGGAGGAGGCTGTGAGCCCAGGAATGTGGGTGCCTCTAGGAGCTGGAAAAGTCAAGGAAAAGGATTCTCCCCAGGAGCCTCCAGGAGGAACCAGCCCTGCTGACACCGGGGCTTCAGCCCAGTGAGACCCACATCGGACTTTCGACCCACTGAACTGGACGATAATAAATTAGTGTAGTTTTAAACCACTAAAATCGTGGTAATTTGTTACAGCAGGAGTAAGAAACTAATACAGTCTACATTTAAAGATACTTGAGCTCTGATTTTTCTAAAAAGTTATATAATTCTGAGCAAATAGAGGTTTATAGAATCATATTCTTGTAATACTTAGAGTTGAACTGGTCTAGCATCCAGCACAGGATAGGTAAGGCACTATCACCCCGTTTTAGGGACAGTGGAATTGAGGCTGAGAGGTTAAGTGACTTCCAGCAAGTTAGGGGTGAAGGGAGAACCCAAAATAGCTGGTGCTGGGCATCGGGGAGCACTGAGCCTTCCACACGTCCGTCCCACAGCACCCAGCGCTACCCTGGTCCTCCCAGCTTTGAGGAATGCTTGTCCTCTTACCAAACGGCCATCTGAAAAGCTGTCCGGGTGGAGTTGTTTGTTTCCATGGGGGAACTTTGGGATGGGCTATTATCTGATCTCAGATCCTGACTTCTCATCCTGAGATTCTTTTGGCTGAACAGAGCATGGAATTCCTGAAGAATTCTGTTGTCAAATGTAGGACAGGAGGAAAGAGACTGGCCCATTCATTAGAGCAAGTAGTCAAATTGGGGGGAAAATACCCATTTGTTTTTACCAAATTGATCAGTAGATTGGGTATAAGTCTGCTTAGCAAATAATTCACCTCTGGGAGTAAAGTGGCATCATTAGTTTGTGCAAAGGAATTTATGGAATTCGTAAAGGAATTTATTTGAAAACACTGAAGTGATTGTGAAGACCAGAGAGTTAGAGGAAACCAAATTTAAACCTGCACTGTCCCACTCACCAGCTCAGTGACCTCAGTCATTCAGGGCCTCAGTCCCTGAGCTGTGAGGTAAGATGGTGACTCCCCAGTTCACAGGAGAGTGAGGGTCCAAAGGCATCATGTAAGTGCGCGGTACAGAGCCTGCCGGGTTGACCCAGAGCTCAGTGAAGGGCTGGTCTCCCCCGGGGCGATGGGAGATTGTTAGCATCATGGGGACCTAGTTCCGACCCAGTTTAAGCAGCGTTCCGAGGTACTGACCGAGGGCAGAGGAAACCCGTTGTACAGGAAGTGGGGGTTCCAGCCTCTGGGCTCGCTGATGCCGTCTTCATAGGCTGGAGGCAGCCATCTCGCCAGGGCTGTGTTGGAGGCTCCCCACCTGGGATGGTCTCTGTGGAAACAGACGTGGAGGCACATATGAGATGGGGAGGAAGGAAGCAGCAGTCCCAGTGTAATAAACCATTCTCAAGGAAAATAGAGACAGCTGGCTTCCCAGAGACCCAGGGCTTCAAGAGTGGTCTCCAGGTGGGGTGCACAACCCGGGGGTACCCAGAGGTTCCCCTAGGGGTATATGGACGTGGAGCGTCTCAAGAACATCAACTTCCAAAGCTCCTCGTTCCAGAGCACTCTCTGCTCTGCCGGAAAATGCACCTGAATTTGAGGCGTCCTGCCCATCAATGCCCCTGCACAACTTCCCTTTCCATTGGCCAGTCTCGCCTCCTGTGGGGTGTGCAGTGGGGCCCTTCCCCGGAGGACAGAGCCTTCTGGGGCTTCCATCAAAGAGACAATTTGAAATCGTGCTGTGTTAACATCCTTTAATCAAGGCACCATAAACCATCCAGGGGTTGTGCCTTTTCCTGTCATATATATTTATCTTTAGGACCAGTTCCTGCTAGAAACAGGGCCCTTTGGGACTTTCTGGAATGTTCTAAATTCAGACGTGAGCTGACTCTCAAGGGAGCATGTATTAACACATTTATTTGAATTAAAAATGTCAGGCTTTTTCTAAGATTTCTCTTAGAAAGTCATATTTGGTTGATGGATTTGACAGTGAGAATGGACCCAGGCAGTTAGGGTAAATGGGAATGTTTTCCATAAAGAGACTGGGCTGAAGTTTTATTCTATTGGTCGAAATATATTTTGATAAAAATATAAAGTACATGACAAAGCAAAGCTGCGTTTAATAATATTTTGATTTTACAAACTACTTCTGAGCATGTCATGTTAAGGATGTGCCTCTAAGTAAAAGGCACAGGCACAATAAAGCCTCATTTGATATGTCCCGGAAAATTTTCCAGAAATTGAGAAAATGAAAGACTAATGGTTGGTAACTAATCCTTATGTAAATCAAGTGCTTTCCAATTTTTGTTAAAAAAAACTGAAGGACAGCCTGCCTGAGTTGTTTGCTGATGGATCAACAGAAGTAATTTCAATGATAGCTCGTTATGTGTTCATTCTCTTGTGTATCTCAGAAGGGTCCTGAGAGGCAGGCTCCATTACTGCAGCAAAACTCCTTCTGTTCCCGAGACCTGTCCACACCAGCGGTGTTTCTGAGCCGGCACATCTGCAGAGTGGATGACAGGCATGGGATTGCCGTTGACCGTGTAATTCATCATCCAGTGTGGAAAAAGGAGCACTCCTAACAACGCATCACGGTGTCGGGGTAACAGGCGTGCACAGGGACTGTCTCAGGCAACCGGGAGGCGCCGTCCCTTGGCCACAGGCAACGTGCACCCAACTGACCCGTGAGCTAGCCGACGCGTCCATCCATCTCATCAATACATTAATTCCAATGAAAATTCACTTCTATATTAATAACTGATTATCAATATTTGTAATATTTATGCTGATTCGATCAATGGTGTCCTAATAAGAGCTGTAAGACGATCTCAATCTTGAAGAAAACAGTTAACCCTTGGATCCTTGTGCTTTCTGGAATTCTTCTAAATGTGAAATTTCAATTTAGAAAATACAAATATGTAAAATATATAAAATAAATATATTAATATGTAAATATATAGATATTTGATAAAAATATATAAATGTATGAAATAAATGGATACATAACACTTGTATAAGAATAAATTATCTATGGGGCGTATGTAAAAGGAAAGGAATATGTAAAAGGAGAAAATAAAAGACTTTCCATCTTAAAATACCCTACATTTGAAAAAAAGGATAGACAAATTAGAATGGAACTATCAGTTCACAGAGCAAAAAAATAGGGGGAATTTTCTGTTAGAGAAGAAGTTGTTTTGTTTTTTTTGAATGGATTATTTTGGGCACAAAGTTGCTATGGTATCCGTGTTCCATTGGAATTTGTGAACAAATCCATTTGGGAATAACCGACAACTGGCCGTCTGTGTGGTGGCTGCAGAGTCATCGCAACAGAAAGGAGCGAGGCTGCGCGTGTGGGCCCTGCAGTGCACACCTGGCGTGGGGCATGCGAGGTCACGTGGCAGAATCATTTGAGTTGGAAAAGATGGGGATCCAGACGTTTTAAAATTCCTTCATGCTTCTGATGTGTAGACTTAGAACATGCAGGGAGTGAAGTCTGCAGGAATCATGGCAAGCTGAGTAATTTTAAAAACTTTTGGAGTGTTGGAAATAGATGTATTTAAAAGTTAGTTGGTTTGTTTTGACCCTAAATTATTATCACCATCCTAGACACAACGTGTACTGATCACTCTTAAAGAAATGAGACTGGCCGGGTGCTCTGCGTGAGAACGAGAGGGGTCGTGTGCTCCTAGGACTGTGTCGGATCCGAGCCACAGAGTCCACGCGTCCAAAGGCTCAGTCCTGGCCGTGGCGACACACAGGACAGGGAGAGTTCCTTTCCATCTGCAGGTCTGCCAATGCACCACAGGCTTCCTGGCACACAGAAAATGGACTCTCTGCTGCTGTCGCTCACATCACTGCTGTGTCACCCGGGAACCGGTCAAGGATGACCCGTGGCAGCAGGCAGCGACGTTACTTCGTGTGTCTGGAGGGACAGCACGTGGGGAAGAAGTCTACTGATAACACCTCGTTGATCTCCAGCACCCCAAAGCAGCTCAATCTGCAAAACTCCAGGGGACAGCAATGCATTGAATTAGCTGCAGTCAGCCAGCATGGGGGGACCGGACTGTGCTTTCATGGAGCGTCCAGAATCCTTACAGTTGGTGTGTCTTTACTGAGACTCCATAGCTCCTGGGGGAGGTGCTGTTTCCCTCATGAACGATGATAGAATGTCACCCTCACTTCTTGGGCGATGGTCTCTCTTTTTGCTGGCAGACTTCCACGTTTCGGCAGCTCGCCAGGATGTCATGGCAGCCTGAAGCACTCACGTGTTTCTACAACATCCCGCGAGTCTGTGCTCTTAACCTGCATGATCAGAGACCTAGCCAGTGCAGCAGGACCAGGAGAGAGCGTGATAAACGCCCACAGCTGCGTCCAGTGCTGGCCGGGGACTCGTGGCCACCGTGCATGGCCCTCCTCCAGGCTCTGAGGCATCGCTCTCCGACGTTGCTCACTTGTGTTGGAAGAATCCCGGCCCCAGTGGGATGGACTTTTAGCACCGTCTTATTCCCTTATTAGATCTGGATTAATGGCAGCATTGGAAAAGTGGCCATAAAGCTGACACAAATAAATGAATAGAAACATTTCTGGAGGAGAGTTTTGCAAGGGAGACAGATGTCTGTGCCTCCACAGTGGCTCCAAGTTACTGTGATTTGTTTCAAACACTAGCTCCTCTCTCCTAGGCACCAGTCACTACAGACTTAAGGATGCCCTGAATTCTAGAGAGAATGGCAACTCTACAGTTCCAGCTTGAAGACAGCTTGGATGTCCAGCTCAGGACTGACACTGGGAGACTCCAGTCAACATGGGTCCTTCCAGCTGCTGACGTGGGAACACTTAGAACCGTGAATTTGTGCCTCCCCTGAAGAGAAGCACAAGGTCATATGTTGTTACATCCTGGGAGAAAATTGTTGAAGTTAATTATGTGCCAGGAGAAAACAACTGAAGTCAGCTTCTGACTTCTGTGAGTGCATCCTTTTCGCGCATCCCTGAAAGTGATGAGGATGTGAATGAGGACAGCGCTGCTTAGTAAGGATGTGCGGCCCCACAGGAGTATGACACCCTGCAGCAGCAGCTGATAGCCCCCAGGAATGAATTTGGTTTCCCAAAGATGCCTAATGCCCTGTCAGGTGGCCTTGAAGTGCAAGAAAGCTCAACTCATTGTTTACCGGGTCTCTGGCTGGAGCCACTGGGCTGGAGGCAATTCAAACCAGTCAGTCTGTGAGGCGGGACGTGTCATTGCCCGTCAATGAGGGAGACATCGGAAACCTCTCGGAGGTGGAAGTGTTCTTCTAGAACTGGTACGCACTCAGCATTTTCCAAAAACTCTGAAAAGCTTATTTATTCTGATGTCATTTGTACTCACTTTATGTTCTGAGATATTTAGTATTAGAAACAGCATCAGGTCCACCCACTTTCCCTTAAAGACTACCGAGCATCCTTGGGCCTCAGGGACTGCCCACCCCAGTCAAGGGCGTTGTTTTGTTTTTGGTTTTTTTTCAGTTCAACTGTCAACATTACTAACTGACATCTTGGTGCCGTCTCTAAATTTTAAAGTGCAGCCTCAGCTCTCACCAGCCACATACTTGTTGTTTAAGAGCTATTGTTTCAAGCAGTTTAAGTTTAAACACGCAGATGTTTCCAAAAGCTAGACTATGTTGAGTTTCCTTCCAGGAAAGCTCTGCAAGGTTTCACTCCACTGAAAATTTCACAAATTAGATCAAAACACAAATGAGAAAAAAAGTGCAACTATGATTACAACGCAAATTTCTAGAGAAAAAGGAAATTGTACGGTCAGTCATCAACTGTGAGGTATACATACACCCACAAGATATTTGAATGACAGAGACAACACTTACTTTGGATTTGTGACCATTTTGGGGCAAATTGATAATGGAGAATTATACACCAAATTATATATACTCCAAATTAGGTACTAAACCCGGGTAGATTTGGGGCTCCTGACAGTAATTTAAATGCATATATCAAATTTTACTTTCAGAGTTGATCATTTTCTCTATGAATTTATGAGTTTTGAAGGACAGAAGTTTACCCCAAGTAAGAGGTTTAGTGCAGAATTACTTTGTAAAGAAAATGGGCATTTTGGCCCTCGGTAGGATCTCGCCCTACAGCTTGCAATGCTGATTCCATTTCCCTGTATGTCTGCGCAGGATGTGCATTTGGCAAGCCTGGGTACCAGAGAGACGACTCAAGTCACGGGCTGTGTGTGTCACTGTGTGGCTGGAAACATCCTCTGTAGTCTCCGTCCATCTGATGAGGGCATAAGATGGTGAGGAGCCAGGTGTATTAGTGCTCGTTGCTGACTTGATATTATGCCTACCCTATGAAAAATTGTGCTATAACGAGAAGAAATCACAGCCAAAGTTTAATTAAATAATGGCTGCTTGACTGCAGGAGCCCTTCCCCAGTGCGCTCACAGGAAAGGCACACGGAATTACGTTTCTGACCCTCTGTGGCTAATGCCTTGGGCCAAGACCCAAGAGGTCTAGAATTTGTCCAGTGATTTCGTCACAACACTTACTGTAGTGGAGTTGTAGACTACGTGCTAGGAGTTTTAGAAACATTATCTCTCAAAAAAGACACAACGCTGCCAGGTAAGTGCTATTCCCATTCATGTGAAACAGGAGCCTAGAATGCCTGTGTGACCCACAGAGGGCGTCACAATTCCATCTACAGCCAGAACTTGACAGCACATGTGTGTGCTTTTCTAACATCTTTATGGTTAGAGATCCACATTTTTTTAAAAGGACAGATGCAGCATGCACGCACACACTCATGCATGAGAACACGGGCTGTGCGGGAACCCGAGGACAAGCCTTGGGACAAAGTGGCAGAAGAGCAGAGTCTTGATGTAAAACGGGGATGCCTCGCTTGCTACCACACAAGGCGTTTGCCGCAGCACTGGCCACATCATCCAGACACAGTGGAGGCACAGAGAAGACATTGGGGGAAGCTGAGTCAGTTGCCCTGGCCGGGGTTGGGGGGAGGCAGGCTCAGGAAAAAATGGCTGCCACTCACTCATTTATATATTTATGTATATCTCTCTATATTTTCAGCACCTGAGTTGGTCTTCATTCCAAGTTGAGTCACGGCCTCTCCCATTCGGCCCATCCTCACACTGTGAAACCAGCCGTGCCCTCTGTGGCCTGAAGGAAGCCCTCCGCTACATGGTCATCCTTGCAATCCTGGTCTCGGCTCCTGCCCACAGCTCGGGGGGGCTCCTTACAGCACTGAGTCTCTGTGGTCCCGCCCTATCCTTTCTATCATGTTACTCTGCTATATTTTCTTCACGTCACTTGGCATCATCTTAAATTTCTTATTTTTTTGACTCTTTCCCCATCCCTCACCATGGACTGTTCTGTCCCGGGGCTGCGTCGCTTGCTCACACTGCTGTGGAACGGGCTGGGCAGTGCCAGGCCAGCGTGGTGTCCGGTGGACTCCTGCAGATGCAGTGAGGTAGTCAGAGCACGAGGAATTGGGAGCTCAGAGGCAGGAAAAGATTCACACGTGGTCTACAGAGCCCCACCCCTGACAGCGTCCAGTCACACTCAAATCCAGCTCTCACGAGGAGATCAAGACCACCGGAGAGAGTACCTGTTGTTGCACGCGCCAGTGATCAGCCTGTATCGGTCTGCCAGGCAGGTGCGCGGACACTTGGGGGGCAGCATGTGAGGCAGGCATCCGGACATGTTCGCAATCACGTTCAGGAGGTCTTCTGACAGAGCATCTGAGGGAAACGTCAAAGCATGAGCCCTCTTCTGCCCTAACAAATCCGCCTCATGAAGCATGCCTTCGAACCCCGTCTCAGAGGGGGCTCCGGGGCTGCGCTGGGATTCCTAGTCACCCACGTCATTCTTCGCAGGCAGCTCTTCCTTCCCCTTTAAGTCAGTTGCGCTCCCATTTAATTCCCTTGAGCCTCCTTATTGCTAAGAATGTGAGTTTTTAAAATTTATTTTTGCTCTGTGATCTCTCAGAAAAGCAACTCTAAGAGTTCTGAGCCCCCCAGAGATAAGCCATTTCTCTGAGCCACGACAGTCCCCCAGGGACGTCTCCAAATGTCAGTTTGTCACAACCGCACAGCTGAGGCAGTGTGTCTGGCCACAGCCCATGGTTTCAGAAGACAGTGAATACGTAGTATTTACCTCTCCCCACCACAACCCTGCCTCAGTCATGTTTACTAACAGTATTCATCTGTCCGTCTACAAAACCCTTCTTTTTTCCTTCGTATTGATTTTTGGTTCTCTTCTTGTAAATCTTTCTAGATTAGAGCCCAGAAAATAGTCGTGTGTGTGTGTGTGCGCCAATTCTGCTGCTATTTATTCAAGAAATCAAAGCAAGTTCTGCTTTCTTGTCGGTTAGTAGAAGGAATCATTGGTTCTTTCTCCAGGATGGTTTGTGTGAATCTTCAAAGATAAGGCCATAAAACTGATTAACCAGATACCAATGAAACTGAGACATTTGCTAGAAAAACACTGGAAGGAGTGAGTTCCATTTTCAAATTGGAGAGAAACAAAACTAGCCTCTTAATAATTACTGTCCACTGAACGATCTTGGTTGGATGGCTCCACATGAACAGGTAAATAAACCTTAGCCTACAATTTGCGTTCAGGTAAAGGAGGACTATGCTTTCCTTAAATAGATGAGTACAGATTCTCAAATACTCAAACAGATGAGAAAATATAACGAACAAAGTGCATTAAAAAGAACCGCGCCATCACAGCCATGTTAATAAACAAAACCAGTGCTAGGAAACAGCCTGGAAGGAAAGGCACTGACATTTAACGGTGGATGTTGCTTGGCGATGACGTGCTTGGAATCATTCGGATCCTTTTACTTTTCTTACATTCTGAATTTTCTGGATTGGCCATGTTGGTAAAGGAAATAACAGAAAACGTCTTAAATTATGGGGTTCTTCTGTTCTACATCATGGCCCACACCAAACCCATCAGCCTAATCTCCCTAGATACCCACACCCACAGGCCTGAGCAATGGTCATTGTGATTCTACAGCACGAACCAGATGACCTGCGACACTCTCTAACAGCAGAGGTCATCTCTACCAGAGCCCTAGCTTACACCAAGCAGGACGGTGGGCCAAGAACCCTTAGAAACATTTTCAACTGTATGATTTGGAAGAAAAACCGTTTCAAGTGAATGTTTGGTTTTTATAAAAATCAATTAAACTTAACTGTTAAGTTTAGTATCTGAGAATTCTAGTTAATTCTGGTTCAGCTGAATCTCTTATTCTAAAGGCTTAGTAAATCAGCACTAAGTTAATCTATAGCTGGTTAGAAGGAAAGAACTCAGAGACCAAGTAGCTCACGGCACCACACTGAAAAAGTCTGTCTAAGCTCATTAAAACAGAAATCTTGTTTTCTGGTCCTATCATAGGACTTACAAATACACCTTTTGATTGCAATCATTATCATCTCAATATCTTATATCGACAGTGTGCTTTAGATCTAACGCAACTTGATCCTTGACTTTATTTTGGTCAGTCGACAGCCACGTGAGTGAGTGGCCAGTGTTAGCACCCCCACTTTAGAGACGAGCAAATCGGTTCTCAAAGGCCTCGAGTAAGTCTGCTGATGCAATGGCCACTCGTGAGAAGCTGGGGTTGCCATCCTTCGCTCCCTGTAACCTGCCGCCTCCCACGTGAATGTGTTTCCTCAAAGGGCTTCTACGAATGGGCTCCCCAAGTTTTAACCAGGTCGGTAGGGAGGCCATGGAAGAACTCCTAAATTATATCAAATCTTGGAACAGGATGCTTAGATGATTGAGTTGGTTTTCCACATTCGATTTGAATAGCAGAGGAACGTTTCCCAGACTACGGAAAATGAAATATTGTAACTGTTTGATCTGCATTTTAAAGAACTGCATTTGTCCTGTGATGAGCAGAGAATTGCACCCCATGTGGTGACAAGGAAGAAACACTCCTGCCCACCCCCCGCCTGGCCCTCGACAGTCAACTGGTCCACCTGGTCCGCCCGTGGAGTGGCTGCTCCCAGACAGGGAGGGACACCACCTCCTTACCTGTTGGAGGCTGTGCTTGCTTAAGGTTCAAGTAGCCCCTCCTTCTCATCACCTGCACTGATGTTTCCATTATCTCGGCCGCCCGGGAAACAGCTCGGCTTGTTGGCTCAGGGAGTTTGGAAAAAGACAGCAGCTGCGATGGAGAAATGATCTCCCTTTTGTTGAGGTTTCTACGGCACAAAGAGGAGAGAGAAAATCAATTATTCTCTTACGGTTTCTTTGTAATTAATTGCTAGTCAATTAAGCAGACATCTATTGAGTACCTACCAGGTCCCAGGCTCCATGGGGAACTCAAGGCTGGAGCTTGTAGACATCCCGCTCACAGGAGGGCAGGACTCAGTGAGGGGGCAAGATGTGAATATAGATAATCTACCAATGTTGAACGATGAAGAGAATGGCCAATATCTGCACTTTGTAAACTTCTGTATCTGAACTCATTTGATTCTCATAACAACCGGGTAACATAAGCCTTCTCATCAAAATCCAGTGAGACATCAACGGATGAGGTGGGGTTCTGAGAGCGTGCAGCCCTGTCGAGGGCTCAGAGCCAACCAGTGCAGAGGCTGTGACCCAGCTCAGATCCCTGCTCTTTCCACTCCAATCAGAGAACCAACTCACCATACAGCAGAACACAGCAACAAAGCCGCTTGAGGTGAGAACGGAAAACACCCCGATGGAAAGTGCAACCTGGGGAGCCTGCCTCCCGAGTCACCCTCCCCAGCCGGCATCCTGTCCTCTCACGCGGGGGGGGGCCTGGGCCTGTCAGGTTCCAGCAGCTCCAACCATGGGGACTAATCAGGGGTTTTTAAGGCCCACCTGCCCACTGGAATTTCAGGTCCCAGGGACCCCTGGAGGGGCAGGACTGAGGTGGCCTCTGCAACAAAGCTGCCATCACCTGGGTGGCACCTGCAGAGTGGCATTGTGGAGGCTCCAGGAGCCCCGTCTGAGAACTCAACCCTAACGTGAACCCCAGAAGCATCAGGGGCCAGGTGAAGCCCAGGCACTGGCAGGAAATCCCATCCCGGTGACGATTAGATTTGTGGTTCACAACGCTGGGCCCTGGGGGGAAACAATCTCATGTGTCTCAGTTGTTCTGCTGGCTGTGATTAAGTGGGTTATTTATATTTTTTGTTTGTTAATGCTAACCAAGAATATACAGTCCTTACTGAGTGACAATAATGTGCCAGGGGCTGAGCTGAGCACTCGCCCATATTACTTCATTTCCTAAGTCATGACTTGTAAAACCTCAGAGATGGGTGCTGCAATTATGCCCATTTTACAGGTAGGACTTTAATTCATTGAAAAGTAAGGATCTTGCACCAGGTTGACAATCAATGAGTGACGGAGGCAATATTAATATACAAAAACTACACATGCACACAACGTATACATTAGAAACAAGCTGGTGTACACACAAATGCACACGGCATATAACGTAAAACATAAAATAGTTGTATACGAGAACTGCCAACTTTTTAAAAATCTTATTGAGGTCATATTTGTTTATAACATTGTGTAAATGTCAGGTGCACATAATGATATTTCAGCTTCTGCACAGGCTGCATCCTATTCACCACCACTAGTCTCGTTTTTATCCAGCCCCATACATGTGGGCCAACAGGTTTCTAAGGATACTGTGAAGTCATGAACTTTGAGGGGACTGAGACTTTGCAGAGCTAACCAGCTAGCTGGCGAGCCCACCATGGTTCCATGGGTGTTGACCAAGGACTGAGACTTTGCACAACTCACAAGCTAACATGGGAGTCTGCCACAGTTCCATTGGTGTTGGCCAAGGATACAGACTCTCAGCTCAGAGACAAGCGAAGTGACAACTCGCAGCAGCAGCAGGCCAGTGTTGGCATTTGTGTCAGTTCCCCGAGACTCTGTGGTAGACGGGAAAATGGCCCCCAAAGGTGTCTGCATCCTAGTCCCCAGAGCCTGGGAATATCTTTGGCTATACAGCAAAAGGAATTAAGTTGCTGATGGAATTAAGGTTGCTAATCAGTTGATTGTAAAATGGAGATACTATCTTGGATTATCCAAATGGGCCCAATGCAATCATAAGATGCCCTTAAAAGCGGAAGAGGGGGACGGGAGAGGGAGACGTAACTGTGGAAGAAGTGTCAGAGAAATGCAAGGTTACAACTTGAAGATGGAGGGAGGGGCCACGAGCCAAGGAACGCAGGTGGGCTCTAGAACGTGGAGAAGGCAAGAAAACAGACTTTTTCCTAAAACCTCAGAGCACAGTCCTGCCGACTGCCTTGGATTTGAGACTTCTCCACTTGGAACTGGAGAGAGGATAATAATAAGACTTACACCCTCACCTACCTGAGTCCCTAGCCGATTCTGCCAGCCACTGTGTTACCCTGGCCTCTAGGGAGGTAGATGGGTAGATATTCTTCAAAACTGTTGTACAGGATTTCTCCCAACAGAACGTAACTTGGAAGATAATACATGAACGTGGAACAGCTCTGACAGAAGCAGGCATGGGAAGCCCAGAGAAACACACACACACACATCTGTCTGGCACCCGGCTACAGGAGGCTGCACCTCAAAACACCGTGCCTCCCACCTCTCTGCCTGGTCTCCAGGTGGACAGCCTCTTGTCCTGGGGCCCCACATGCCAGCTGGCTGTTCTTGTCCCGGGACAGGCTGATGACAACTGAGGGTTTATGCCTTGGGCACGTGTCCTTCTCTGCACCTGGGCATCTTGGCAGCCCCCGTGCAGCCCCCACAGAGAGAGGCCTTTGCTGGCTGTCCCTTCCCTCCACAACCACTTTTGTGGGCTCCAGCTCTCTCAGGTCATGCAAGTTTGCCCAGGCAGCTTATACGACTGTTCAGTGGGCTGGAGTGTGCTCCATTCTGCTGTTTCCCACGGAGGCTTAGCAGTGGGTCATTCCCCATGCCCGTCAACAATACGATCACAATCTACACCTGAGGCCACAGCTGCACGCGTTTGAAGGCCTCAGCTTTAGAATAAGACATTAAGAAAAAACTGACACAGGGCCCAGCCTGGTGGCGTAGAGGTTAAGTTTGTGCAGTCTGCTTTGGTGGTCCCTAGTTCATGGGTTCAGATCCTGGGCGTGGACCTATGCACTTCTCATCAAGCTGTGTGGCGCTGTTCCCACAGACAAAATAGAGGAAGATTGGCACAGACGTTAGCTCAGGGACAATCTTCCTCACCAAAAAAAAAAAAAAAAAGAAGAAGAAGAAGTGAGAGATGCACATTCTTATTGCAGCAAAATATCTGACTCTGAACTCAAATTTGGGGAACTTCAGCTCTAGCTGGCTCAGCATTCTTAGTAAGAAGAGCCTGGGAGAAGAGCTATGCGTCAAGTTTATGTCCCCGGTAACACTCTGGATCTCTCTGAAATGGAGGATACAGGGCAATGGTGTCGTTTTCATTGAGGAATAATGCTCCTTAGCTTTTCAATCGGTCACCTGGGCAACGTGAGGAACGTTTTAACGTGAACAGTAAACAGGCTCAAAGGATGTCACTGACCTAAGTGCGGACGCTCCTGGTTGGATGTGTTCTGGAACTGCCAGCAAGTCGTGGATGCTGGAAACTGTCTCTGAATGCTAAAAGGGACGGATTTACCCATCGGGGGATGTGAGTCTCGGCAGATGGACACGCAGCTCAGGCCGTGCTGGAGGCTATTGAGCCCAACAAGGACATTTGGTTCCTTGTTCCCCAATCCCGAGACCCAAAGCCTGCTTAATGGGAATGCTCCCATCTTCTGCAGAAATGGAGAGAGGACAAGGGCACCCTGGGGCCGACCTGAACATGCAAACTGTGCGCACGCTTGTCCTGGAGAGAAAGGAAGACAAACTAGCAAGAGTGCTCAGGAACTAGGTTTTGCTGTAAGGCAAGTCAGCGCACCTCTGAGGCATGCAGGAGCCTTCCCTCATTGTGAGGGTCTTGGCAGGAGCCCCTCGGGAGGCGCTACCTTCTCACCGGGTTCCCTGAGGCAGGCCTGTTGGGATGCTCCCTCTCCCCGACATGGGTGCCTCTTGGGCCCCTTCCCGCCAGCCTCTCCTCACAGGGGCCCAGACTCCCCGGACCCCGTCTCCTCCTGTCAGAGGAAGGCAGGGTCTGGCGTCAGGGCCGAGCCCTCCTCTGCTCGCCCTGTTGTCACACAGCCATCAGCCTGAGATGTCAATTTCTGTCCTGCCCCAAAGTCTTAGGTTCTTTGTGTCCCCGTCCAAGGAAACTCATCTGCATGCCCCCCGGCAGCTGGCTGGCTCCTTCCACGCAAGGCCTCCAGGAGCCTTCTCCACTCTCCGTTTCTTCCCTCTTGATCCTCCTCCTCTTTCTCCTTCCTGCTCCTGTGTCTAACTCTCTCTGTCTGTGTGCCTCCCTCTCTCTCTCTGTTTCTCTCTCTGTCTCTTGGTCTCTGTCTTTGTCTCTCCTTCTCCATCTCTCTGTGTCTCTGTCTCTGATTTCTCTGTATCTCTGTCTCTGTCTATTTCTCTGTATCTCTGTCTCTGTCTTCCTGTCTCTGTCTCTATCTGTCTGTCTCTCTCTACTTCATGACAAAGAAGATCAAGGCTGCTGTCTTCTCCCGCAGACTCTGGCCCGGCCATGGCCAGCATTGTATCTCTTCATCCCCATTACCAGTTTCACACACATGTCTGCAGAATGGAGTAATGAAAGCCATTTGATATTCCTAATGGTCATTGTGGACCCTACATGACGCACTTTTTCCCTTGTTTTAGAATTTATGAAGGAAGCAGAAATCACATAATACATGAATCATAGTTTTTAGGATACAAAGTTACTTTAGAAATTTTTTAAGGATAAAATATATTGACTAATTATCTTATTTAGATAACTCAGGTTTCATGTTTTACTATTTCACAAATAATAAATAATTATGCAATTATTTGGGGATTTTTGTCAATACTAATTATTAAAATTGAATCATTCATTCTGTGACTAGTAAGCAAAAAGCAAATTAAGCACTTACTAGTTCATTGACCCTAAGAGAGAAACAGTTCCATGTAAGGAAAAAACTTAGCATTTCTAGTCTAAAACATACCTGCTAATCGTAAATAAATGACTTTATAAAGAAATTTCTGAAAACCACCTCAGAAGACCTTATTGATTATCCATCTAGATAAGTTTCCCCCCATCTTCATGTTTCCATTTAATTATCAACAGAAACAAAAATGTCAAACCAATCTGGGGCCACATTTCGTGTTTGGGGAGGGAACTTTGTAACATGGGATTTCCGTGCTCTGCGCTTGGCCAGGAGTGAAATGCGAGGGCTCCCTTTACCCACCTCTGCTCCCCGCGACCGACCAGCGGCTGTGTGACGCTGAAAGGCCATTTAAGTCTGAGACACCCCGGTCTCCTGTCCTCGTGGCTTGCAGTAAAACCTGCCTTGGAGACTCCATCAGCCTCAGCTCGCTGGTGGAGTTGTCACGGGTGAGAACCGCCTGAGACCTCCTCCCACGGCCAGGGAGCAGACTATGCCATGGACAGTGACGTCCCATTGTGCCAGATTAATGCCTTGGCCAAGGACAAAGTTCAATTCAGAAACCTAAGGAGAAAGTCACCTTCTAGGGTAGATCCTGACAGGGTTAAGGCTTGTTTGGCTGGTGGAACACAGGGTTCAACCCAGCTGAAGGTTCGGGTAAATGTGGCGTTTGCCTCATCCTGCAGCCTGGGCTCGTGCAGTGGCAGCGTGAACTGAATGCTTTGTGGGATAAAGAGGCCCCGATGCAGGCCCATCAGGTGCACTAGGGTGGTCACCGCAGGGACGTGAAGGTGAAGATGGTACACACAAGAGGGCTGGATATCACTGGGGAACAATTCTCCATACGTCTTGGTTGTTTCTCCTCAGCTCGTGAAAACACAGATGCTGCCCACCTTTGTTCCAGTCGACGTTCACCAAGCTGTTTAGATAGCGAGTACATCTGCCTCCACAGAACGCTGTTATCTCCCCGTGTAACAGAGGTGTGTCCCCTCCAGGGCCAGAGCCATCACAAAAGGTGCAGGTTCCTAAGCTCTGGGCCCTGCCCATGTGCACTGCCCCAGGGGAGCTGGTCCAGGGACCACACACCTGCTGAAGCAGGGCTGCTGTTCTGCTGTGAGTGAGCTCCTCGTCTCTGAGCCAGGAGTTTCGTGCCTTCTCTGGCACCGTGCAACCGTGCTGGGCTGGTCATTGGCTGTGAGAAATGTGAAATCCCAGACACTTTGCCATTCTGGACACGTCCACAGGCCTCAGTCTGTTCCCACATTGCTTTCCAAAAATGTGGTGCCGTGCTGCCATCCAGGAGTGTGTGGCAGAACTGGTCACAGCTTTCCCTGTGGATATTACTAAAGCTTTTTTTTATTTTTCAGCTACAAAATAACTAGGTTTCTTTTTAAGTGTAAAAGTATTTTGTTATCAAAATTTTTACTCACAGCTGCTTATCAACTAATCAACCAAATATTTTTGGATTATCTGTAGAATACCCACCCCTAAATTCAGTGCAATATTAAGTGTTTGTCTTTACAGAGGAATGTGAACTTCCTGAGAATGGAGGATATTTGTAATTTATCTTTGTATCCCCAGCATCTAGCACAGAGCCTGCTATATAATAGAAACAGTACTTATTGAAGAAACAAATATATTTTGAGCAGTAGAGTATTATTTGAGAGTTATCAAAAAGCAAATCTTTCCAATAAAATGTCCCCAGCTGGCTTCCACGAGCTCCTACCACCATCAGCCACCTCTGGGATCAAGGATCCTGTTAGCACACGACTCTTACTGAGAGAGGAACATGAGCTATGACTGTGCACTTGTCCACTCCCATTTCTTCACGGATAATTGATGTCACAGTCTTAGACATGCTGACGTATGTATGAGGTCATGAGAAATAGTCTTTCTTTCTTTCCCCTTTGATTCAAGTTTTTAGAAAATAGGTAAAAGTTAGTTTTCAGCCAATATGGACAATAGGGTGTTTTCTGGCTAGAAGGGTAGAAATTTCGACTAAATCAGCCACTGCCTGGTGATATTCTGTATCTTGAGAGCTTACATAATTATTAGCCAACTTCTGACAAAATGATGTACTTGTGAGGATGAATCTGCTTCTCAGTTCTGCTCTTTTGCTTTGTTTGTTTTACAAACATCTAAGGTGAAAATTTAAGACTGACGTGAGTTACAGATTTAAAATTCAGGTTCTCAGTTACTTAGAACAGATGATGGGTACATTCAGTCCCTCATCACAGGTCCTGGGTGATGCTACAGCCACATCCCGATGACCCAACACCAGGGACCTGGTGTCTGGATGGCTCCTGTCCTCCTTTGTCTGTGCCTAATTCTTGAGGACAGAGTCCCCCTAATCTGTCAGACTTCAGTCTCTACCATCTTTTAAACCAGCATATGGTGAATTCCAGCCAGATCACCTTGCTTTGCTCTCTTTTGCTAGAGAAAGAATTGAAGACTGAACGCTGGTTCTTTCAGTTGCTTGCACTTGATCCTAGGAAGGTGAATTGACCCATGTGAGCTCCAGCTCCTAATTTGTAAAGTGGAGATGCTGGGACTAATTTTGGAGACTATCATGAAATTAAAACAGGCAAATGTGTGAGGACTCACACAGGATGGGCACAATCCGGGTGACACGCACGTCTTTTCCCCACCTCCTCTCCTGGACCCTTTGGAACGTCCTACCTTTTCATTGTGTTGTAGATGGCGTTATCCACCACGAGCCTGCTCTCCTCCAAAATTCGGATAACGTGAGAGTCCTCCGTCTTCCCTGTAGAGTGAGATACCACACAGTCAAAACTCGATTGGATTCAGCAATTCCCCATCTTTTTAGCTCTCTCCACTCAGTCCAGCTGGATGTGCTGATCAGCGCACGGTTTCTGGGGCTGTCAGCTCTGTGGGTAAGTTTACTCGTGGGCCTCAGTTTCCCCATTTTAAAATGGGTATTAGTTCCTCCCTCGCAGGGCCACCTGTGGACTGGGAGGAGGGAAGGACCCAACACTGTCCTGACCTCGGCCCAAGGTCAGTTTGGCAACACTTATTTCTCACCTGCCCAAACCACCTCTCACGACTCTGAATAGCTTTTTCCGAATATTTTTATCTATACCAGTAATTATAGAAAGTTCATAATAACATTCGCCTGTTTCAACTTGTGCATTTACAAGAGATAAATTATTCAAATCTACTGGCAGTTTCCAATGAAAAGACTCCCATTTTATCTTATTTTTTTATTTTTTAGTGGTTGGAACATTTAATAAGTGCTGTGCTCTGAAAGTTTGTGTCTCTCAAAATTCACACGTTGAAATTCTAATGCCCTATTTGATGGTATTAGGAGATGAGACCTTTGAGAGGTGATTAGGTCGTGAGGGTGGGGCCCCCATGAATGAGACTTATGCCCTTCCAGTAGGGGTCCCAGACAGGTCCCTCACCCCCTCCACCGTCTGTGACCAGGAAGGGCCCTCACCAGACACCAGATCTGCCGGTGCCCTGACCTCGGGCCTCCAGCCTCCAGAACTGTGAGAAGTAAATGTCTGTTGTTATGAGCTTGCCAGTCTATGATATTCTGTTACTGCAGCCCAAACGCACTGAGACAGCCAGTTAAGATGCCATTTCTGGGTTAAAAAGTGAGGTTCTAAATGAACAACATAAAGTAGTCAAATCCTTCCCGTAATACACGCAAAAAAGTCTGTTTCTAAATTATCTTTTGCATAATCAATTCTTTATCAAAGGAAGTACATTTATTTCTAAAAATAAATAGAATATCAGAATGTTTTCAAATATTACACCTCTATATAGAAAAAAGATTGTTTTTAAAGAGGTAAATATCAATATCTTTAGAACTAAGTAGGCATGGCATATTCCAGAAAATGTATTAAATTCGTGAATAAACTTAGCAGGATGAAGTTGCCTGATGGCCTCTGTCCTAAAATTTAACTAATGATTTCCTTGCAAGAGGAAACAAAGTGACTGGGAACCCTTAGAAAAGTTTGAGGGTCTTTAGGCTGCAGGTTCATCGAGGCAGAAACCATCTCACGTCCCCACCGTCCACCTGGGTGCTGGCGTGGCGCCCACACATGGGGGACCCCATCAGAGCATCTAAGGGCTGTCAGGGCTCCAGCCTCGAGCGCCTGCAAAGCATCCACCAGCCCACAGCAAACCCTCCATACTGTCACTCCTCCGCTCCTGCCTGTTTCTGCCCGACCCAGTCTGTGCTTCTGACCGTCACATTTCTTAGTGTAGTACAGCCAAGTGAGGAAAAGTTCCCCGTGGACCGTCCCTTGGGGTTCTGGGAGAAGCTGGGCGGAGGGTGACCCTCCCTCTGCAGGGTCTAATAGAGAGCCCTGGGGGCAGCTGCAGTGGGCAGGGTCCCCAGGGCAGGGGTGGTGCATGCAAGCTGGGCTCCGCAGGTCCAGGCCTTAAAGGCTGTGAGTTCTGGCCGTGGTATCTGAACACAGGCCAGCCTCACATGAGTGCACTGTGGCACAGACAGGTGACAGTGTGGGGGGACCAGGGAACCTCAGAGGAGGCAGAGGCAGGGGCATCCAAGGACCCGTGTGCTTGAGGGGGTGGAGAGAGTTCCCTCAGATGTCAGGGATGGACCCCCACAACAGCCTGGTGTCAATACACTTGTGGTTTTCATGCATTTCCTCTCATTCCTTCTAAAGCGACCTTGGCGCTCACGTTTTCCTTTCTGAAGTCAGCCATGGCCCCTCACTTGCCAAATGCAAGGGTCACCCACACACTTGAATTTGGTGCCAGATTTTCTCCACTAAGATCAATGGCTGGTTCTTCACAGGCACTTGGCAATGTGTTAGAACAAACTGATTGAGTGTAAAGGAAAATGTTTGTCTGCTATCCTTGGAATTAGCAGTTGCTAGAAGGTCATTTCTTGTTATTGACAGATGTTAATATAATTTAAGCTTAACTGATCACTTGTGGCTTACTCTCCAGTCTCTTTTCTCATTACAAAATAGTTTACTGAATTTCTAAAAATTGTGTTACAGGCTTGCAGATTATTATTCTCTTCAAATTTTTGTATAAGAAATGTATTTTTGTCTTGAAAAATTTCCCCCAGAAAAACGTAATTCTCCTCCACGACAGAATCAGGTCTCTGCTGGGGCTCGACAGACGTGCGCTGCTTGGTCTCTTCTAGGCTGCACGGGAGCGCCGGGCGGATCCTTGCTTCCCGGCTCTGTATCACTGTCTTTGCTCAGCAGCTCCTTCCAGTCCAGAGCCGGCCGCAGGGTGAGGGTGGTCCCAGGGCGGCGTCCAGTCGTAGGATCACAGACTTGGACATTGCGAACCTAGCCTCTTCTTTTCAGATCTGAAAACTAAATTCTAGAGCTTCACGTGACTTGTCTGATCAGCCTTCTAAGGATGGTTACCATCCCGGCAGGGTGTGCTGTCCCCCACAAGTCCCGCTCCGTGCATATTCGTCTCCTATGTGGAAGAGTCAGAGGGCAGGAAGCCGTTGTGCAAGAAAATACTTTCTTTCAGAAAGAAGGAAGCTACTTATTTCCAAAGAGTATTGATCTTAAAAAAAAAGAAAAAGGACCAGAAGGCCCAAATCATCCTTCTCTGCCACAGAAACTGGGCCTGGCTCCTGCGCCCGCCCCTGACTGGCTGTGAGGACTTGGTTTTGCTCAGAGCTATGTCTTGATTCTTCCTTTAATAATCCCGATTTGCTGAAATCCAATGGACTGGAACAAAGCTTGCCAACTCTCCTTTTTAAACAATTCACGCATTAGGCTGGCTTCCCACATTTCTCAACCTGCAGGCAACACCTCTGCTTCCTGTTGTTTATTTGCATCTTATTTTCTTTCAGTAGCTTTAACTTGTTGGGACATTTGCCGTAAAGATAATTGCACATAAATCTTGGCTTTGTGCAAACCCTGGAAATTCATCCTGATCCTCATGGGGATGAATACACACGGTTTCCATGAAAACCTCCCGTCAGGTTTTTTGAGAAGGGACTCATATAGAATTTTTTCTTAGACCCACAATGGTTATGCATGTATTTTTGAGCAAAAACGAAATCTTTTTCACCACTGAATTATTTTTACTACAGAATTTTCAGGTGCTGAAGTTTATTTCTCTTTGATCTGATGGCCTCGGGATCCGACTCCAGAATGTTCACTGAGCCGGAATCTCTCATGCTTCACAGAAGTGCACAGCTGTGTGAGGCCTCGCTTTGTTGCTCAAACATTCCTCCAGTTCATGAACCAGCTACAACGCGTATCCAGGACTGATGTTTGCTGCTGGCTGTTTGTCAGCCGGATTCGGATGCGTGTGCCGTCGTTCCTGTGTAAAGACCTGGGAAGTGAGAGTGAGTTTGATCGCAGCTCTGCCACCTCCGGGTCTCTGTTCTCTGCGCTGTGAAATGGGTGACTGGACCGCACTGGGATGAGCAGCCCGCATGGCATAAGGCTGCGGGGAGCACATCCGCCTCAGACCATCATCTGTGGGCCAGCAAAGACCCTGGTCCTCGTGCCCAGAGCCTCAGGCTGGCTCTGAACAATGGAGAGGGAGCAGTCCATCTGTCTGCATCCCAAGTCTGTGAGCACAAGCGATGTAACCGACTCACATGGAGAATCAAGTGTTGCTGTCATTTAAATCTTGGCTATGGTGCAATGCGACTGACGAAATTATGCTTCAGAGAAAGTTTCCCAGCGAGTAATTACTTTGTTTCAAAGCTACTGTTGGCTTGTTATCAACTGGGAAAAAAAATTTCTTAATAAGGAATGTAAAATTGAAACACTGTGAGATAAATTATTTTCTAAATAAGTAATTTACAAGTAATACACCAGCTTCAAAAGATCCTGATGAACAATGAAATAGGCTGTATTATTAAATGCTGCGTTGGGCATTATTTATATGTTTATTGAAAGTTTACGCAGGAAAAAAAAATCAAATCTCTCAGAGATGGGGAAGTAATAAAAAATTGCTCTAGCAAAGCCATAGATACCACATTTCCCAATTTTTAAAAAATATGATTTCTAAAACCAAAAACTGTGCTGCACAGGTATTTTTGTATTCTGTTGACTAGCTCTCGTGCAGCACAATTTTGTCATAACTAGCCACAGGACTTCCAGCTGTTGTTACTATGGTTTTGCAGAACTAGGACCTTAGTAAATAATAATGTGAGGACAGATTAATCACTTCACAAAACGTTCGCTGAACATCTGTCGTGTGCCAGGCACTAGGATGAGTGATCGATGTGGGGAGGTGGAAGCATTTTCCTCTAACGTGTGAATTGGGTCTCATTTTTCTAGTGTTGGCCTGGCACACTGCACACGATACTTTACATGGAGTGTGTCATTGACACACGGAGTAACCAGGACGGATAATTCCCAGGTTCCTCCAGCTTACAGATGAGGAAAGGGAAGGAACACAGAGGGGCTCCCCAGTTAGTGAACGGCAGGAGCAAGCCAGTCCTACTTTCTCCCACCCCAGAGCTCGCCTCCTCGTTCCTGACGCAGTGGATGGCCGGGTGCTTTCTAAGAAGCATGAGAGTAGGTGCAGGACTTTAGTGCAACTTTCCATAAGATGCACAGCTCCAGAATTTAGTAAAATTGGAAAAACTGTGGCTTCCAGCAGGAGTGTGGGTGTGGGCTTCAGGGACCCAGAGTGCTGGCCAACCAGGAGATGACCGAGAGGCCGGAGGTTCCCAGGGGAGGCCAGCCGGAGCAGAAGCTCCAGTGAGGCTACGTGGACCGCCCGACGACCTCCAGAGAGGCGGGAGGCTGCCCAGTGAGGGGCGACGCTCCAGAG